CCGACGGCCCTTGGATCAACAATCACCAACTCAAGATCAAGCCCCAACAGCCCTTTGGATCAACAATCATCCACCAATTCAAGATCAAGCCCCAAAGGCCCCTTGAAGAACTTCCACCAATTCAAGATCAAGCCCCGACGGCCCTTGAAGAAAGCACCATCGTTCATCATCCGTTCATCTTAAGATCAAGCCCCAACGGCCCTTTGGATCAACAACGTCGACAAATCCACACATCCAACCGTTCTTCAAGATTAAGCCCAAAAACCCTTGAAGATCCGTTCATCACTGTTCTTCAAGATCAAGCCCAAAAGCCCTTGAAGATCCGTTCATCACCGTTATTCAAGATCAAGCCTTAACGGCCCTTGAACAAACATTCATCCTCAAGATCAAGCCCCAACGACTCCTTGAAGATCTGCTCAAATACACCTTCAAAGATCAAGCCCACGACCCCTTGAAGAAACTTCCAACAGTTCATCCAAGATCAAGCCTCAACGGCCCTTGGATCAACGAAACATCCACAAATAAACACCTTACGGAGATCGAATCAGAGGATCAAATTTGAGAGAGATTGTAACCCAAAATCATCAAAATACAAATATTTGTTTGTGCACGTTGTTCTTGTCTTGTTCCGTTAAGTGTCCCTAAGCTCTTGGCCGGAAGTTTGGGCAATTTTCAAAGTTACGTAGTTCAATCGTTTCTTAACCAAATTCGACTCATAATATGTCAAAATGAAGATAGGAAAGTATAGATTAAGATTATACCTATTTCGAAGCCCAATGATTGCCAGAAAATGGCCTCAAAGTTGACTGGTCCGAGTGAAAACTTGAAAACTCGCAGGAAACTGGGTAAATTTTAAACGTTCATAACTTCTTCAATACTCAACAAAATCAAGTAATTCAAAAATAAAAATCATACTTCTCGACGAGATGAAGATAATGGTACCTTTTTCGACGGCTAAATCGTCGTGGTTTGGCTGGAAAACGGCTCGAAAGTGGCTGTCTTAGTATCTAGTTAGCCACTTTCGAGCCATTTTCCGGCCAAACCATTGCGATTTAGCTGTCGAAAAAGGTTCCATTCTCTTTGTCTCGTCAAGAAGTATGATTTTTGTTTTTGAATCACTTGATTTCGTTAAGTATTGAAAAAGTTATGAACGTTTAAAGTTTACCCAGTTTCCGACGAGTTTTCAAGTTTTCATTCAGACCAGTCAACTTTGAGGCTATTTTCCGGTCATCTATGGCAACCCTTGGGCTTTGAAATAGGTATAATCTTATTCTACACTGTCCTATCTTCATTTTGATATATTATGTGTCGAATTTGGTTAGAAACGATTGAGTTACGAAGCTTTGAAAATTGCCCAAACTTCCGGCAAAGAGCTCAGGGACACTTATCAGAGTTTTTAACGGAATGACCAAAATGATGGATGGTGGACAATATCAGGGACCACTTTTATCGATTTGGAATCTCAGGAACCAAAGTGATGAGTTATGCAAATCTCAGGGACCATTTTGGTGATTTACCATTTTGTAAACATGATTACAATTTGTTACCTCAAACTTGACAAATTATTTATCTTTCAGTATTCTAAAAGTAACTGGAGTAAAAGTATTGCCATGAGAAAATTGTCAAAGTTAAAGGTATTTAGGTTATATTGGTTACAAACTTTATATTTGGGATTGTGCATTATAGTTAGACTTCTTATTTTATCATCATTGCTTGCAGATTAACCATGAAAATCTAAAGCATCAAGTGCAAGCAAATGGGTGGCAAGTTCATCCTTAGCTAGCCTATAACTTTGACTGAAAACTTATGAATCTGAAAATTTTGATTTAAGGACATTAAATGTTATCAGCATGTATTTAGAAATGAAATTACATGTCATATTTTCAGATTTTTTTAATCGTTTATGTTTTCCCATTTTATCTTCATTCTTGTTTTAAAGGAAAAATAGTAAAAATTGTATGAGAGATACTCACATATGTGCAAATTGGATGGAATATATGCTGATAAATTCTTCAACGAACATGGCAATATGACAATATGGCATGCATAACCATAACACCATTATCATAGTAAACGAAAATGAAATCCAACATTTTTAATCTCTTATTGACTAAGGAACCCAACTCTTGATTTTCTTCCTGTACAATATATATGGGTAAAATGATACTGATGGATATAAGAGAATTCTAACTACACTGATTAACTTTATTTTTTTTGTTAATCAGTAATTACCAAAGTGATAATAATGACCAAGCATAGTTTAGTTCGTGAAACCAAATTCTATCAGCCAAACAAAAAAAAATGACACCATAATAATCAGCAAGCAAAAAAAATATGGAATGGTTATGGTGCAATTCATAAATTTCATTTTTTCTGTACAATGAGCGAGTGCAAAAAGACTAAGTTAGATGGTTGAAAATAATAAGAAATTGTTGTGATGGACACACACCTACAATTTATAAAATAATCACTTAAGAAATATAAGAATATCTTAAACAACACATCTTTGAGGCGCGTAGCACCTGTGATGCAAAAATGCCTCTCACACACACGTTAGTGCGTGCGGAGAGGCTAGTAGTAAATTGATTAAACAGTTATTATAGTACTTATGATTTATGTATTGTTTTATTTGTATTTTATCTTTCTTAAATTTCCAATACAAGTATAATTTTTTACATTTATACAAAATATGCTAAATTCACTTAAATCCACCTAGTCCGCCTAGGCTCTAAGCCCCAGCACATCGCCAGACTAGCGCTTAGCACTTTTTAGAACTTTGGGTTTGATTCTAGCCAAAGGCAAATTTGAACTATATTATTGCTAGCCGATTGTGAGGCTTAGCCCACTCCTTACTCCCTTAGAGCACTTCCACCCTTAAAAGGCGTCTCTTGGTTATAGGCAACACAATCCCCCAAGTGAACAATTGCCTTTAGTGAATAATAATTGTCAAAGTACATCTCCACCACTAACTAAATAGCCAAGGCTATTGGTATTAAAGTATATTTATTATTTTTTAGTAAAATAATTAAGGATAATTTTATTTTTAATTTTAGATATGATGTTTAACGAAAGGTTAGGTAAATTTTTTTAGTATTTTTAATATATTTTTTACCATTTTTTATAATTTTTAAGTAATTTAAAATTATGGTTAACGTCACCGTGGCATCTGCCTAGTACTACATAGCACAGGCGCTGGGCGTGTCGATTTGAGCCTGGAGGAGAAGTCGGGCTCTCTCCTGGAGCCCAGTGGATTTAACGTGGGCTGGAGCTGTTTTTTGGGGGAGGGGGATTCTAGAGCTCATCGCCCAGGGGATGTGGCTGGTGGGCTAGAGCTGTTTATTTTTGTTTCTTTATTCGCCTTTTCCATCCCCCAAGCCCCAAGCGCTTCCTCCCTTCTCATCTCAAGAGTTGGGCACTTGAACTCGAAAGCTGAAACCAAAACATAAATTAAATCGAATCATACCGAATAATTTGATTTTGCGGTTTCAAAATGATTTCAATTTAAAACCGAACCGAATGAAGGAAAAACGGTTTGATTTTGGTTCCGACCATCTGAAACCAAACCAAAACCAAAACCGCATAAATTTATTAAATGTCAAATTTTAATTGATTATTTCATTGAATTCATACATTTAATTTGAACACAACCACATATATCATGGACTCAACCACATCATAAGATGACCTCATAAATCTTTACTTTCTTCTAATCTGTAATGCTCAACTTTATTCATCTAACTCTCTCCCTCGGTCTCGGTCTCGGTCTCGACTCTCCAGACACTTTCTCTCTCGGTCTCCCCTCCGGCCTCCCCTTCATTCCAGCTCCTAGCCTCTAGAGTTCAGAGTGCTATAGTATGGTAAGAATTATGATTTATAACTTGTTTTAGTGAAATTTACTTATATATTTGAGATTAATTTTAGGGTTAGGTTTAGGGCAGGGTTTTGAATCAAAAGGGGATTTGAGTCTTCCATTTTAAGAGATTGAGCTGGCTCGCTCTCTGTTTTCAGTGATTAAATGCGGCTGAGCAGATTTGGAGGATTGGTTAAAGGGCTTGGAGTTGTGCAACCTCCTCTTCCTCCTCCTCCTCCGCCGCCGGTGATGGAACGATTGTTCGTGGCACTGGTAGCAAATAATTGAACCTCTACTCTACCATCAACCAAGCGCTCCACATCGCCTTGGAAACTGATCCTCGGTCAGCACTTTCTTTCTTCAATTCTACCTGTTGTATCTGCTTGCTTGCTTCATAATTTGGACTGAATTAGATCTGCAGTGTTTTTAGCAGTGTTTTTAATCATTTTCTGAATTGGGTTTGCTCTGCATTCATTTAACTATTCTTGTTACTTGAATCGTATGTGATATCTCTTAGATCAGATGGTAATTTTTCTTTCGGTCTATCGACTCCACTGTAAACAATTATATATCCACTGCACACACCTACACGAATTGAATCCGCCCCCTTGATTAAGGAGATATTCGCATTACTTTGGGCTGCATGTTGATTTCAATCCCTACATCATGATGTGAACTCTCTTGAACTTAAGATTGAATGTGTATTGCATGCTTGGTTGTTGACTACAATAAATAATGCTGCATTTGGGTTATCGAAGGACTTGTTTTTAATGTCAAAAGTCAAAGCTTGTTACTTGTTTATTAAATCTGGTGTAGCTTTCATTTCAAACTATTTGTTTGTTCACCTTCAAATACTTGTGGGCATCTAGTAAGAAATTAGTTGTGACTCAAACACCAATACTTTTTTTATTGAATTGGATGAAATGAGATACAACTAGATAACCATAATAGCTTTTTCAAACAATGAAACTAAACCAAAACTGTTTAAAACCAAACCGAACCGAACCAAATGGTTTAATTTCATTTCGATTTTAACTTCAAAACCACACCACACCGCACCGAACCGCAAAAACTTCCAATTTTAGTTTTGGTTTCACTCAAAACCGCACCGCCCACCCATACTCGTCTCTTTTGTTTCCGCCAACCCTCAAAAACCCAACTCTGCCCCCTCTTTTCCTTTTTTATTTTACTTCCAAAAAGTCCCTACCACCTCCTGCCACCGACTCTTCCAAATCCTTGGTTGCCCTTCTGATCCGACCCGCCACAACCCATTTCTCTATCTCACTGAACCTACTCACCACCACAACAACCATCGCCTTCCTACAACTCAACGGCAGATCAACGTGCACAGCTCAAACGATTTCAAATTGAGTTCTCCTTCCAAAGCCCTTGCCCTGCCTTTTGTTCAACCGCTGAGCAACCTTTTTTTTCTAAATTCAGGCCTGAAACAAAGTGGTAGAGAATGGAGTCGACACTGGCTGAAGCAGCGGCAAAAGAAGGAGAAGGAGTAGGAGGAGGTATTGTGCCCAGAACGGATTCTTTGGGAGCAGAGAAAGGGATGACGAATAGGAAGGAGAAGAGGAAAGCGATGAAGAAGATGAAGAGAAAGCAGACGAGGAAGGAGATGGCGCTGAAAGAGCGAGAGGAACATGACGCCATTCTCAACAATCCTCTAGAGCTTGCGAAGATTACGATGATCGAGCACGAGGAGGCCGAGCGGTCGGAAAGAGAAAGGAAGATTTTCGAGGAGCGAGAGAGGGCGTGGATGGAAGCCATGGAGGTTAAGAGGAAGAAACAAATCGAAGAAGAAGAAGAGGAAGAACAAAGAAGAATCAAGGCTCTTGAGGAAGAAGACGAATTGTCTCGGAATGAACAGGTTGTTTTTTGTTTATCAATCTTTATGCTTTGGACTGCAACTTTTGAATTTTGATTACGTAAATTAGCAGCATAATTTTGTAGTTCATTGATTTATTTGTTCAATTTGTGTTTGAGAATGTGCTCGAAATATGATAAACAGAAATACTTGGTTGAATTAGTGATGAAATGTAGCTCAGGAAGAATAGTTTGCTGAATATATTAATTATCGTCTTGCTAAATATATTAGTTATTTAGTTGTCATTTGCTTTCTGGATTCTAATTATGCTATTCGTACCGGTGCTTTAATTCTGTTACATGTATGATTTCCTTTGTTTATTTTTGGTTAAGTTGTTTAGTGAAGATAGCATCATTTGTACGCCCGTTTTGTGGGGTAGTGGTCCTTTTATAGGGGTGCAAGATGCTTCTGTTGTCAGTTGATATGATAGCTTCATGCCTGTGGTAAAAGGCGTCGTCTTTGATTTGGAAACAAAAGTATAGTGTTTGTGAAATGAAAGTTGTTAATGTTTGGTTAGCCCTTCTGCTATATTTGACAGGTAAGGTATATGCATTGTCTGCTTGAAGTGGGATAGTTTAAAATGCTATTTACAGGGCATATCAACTCCTTCTTAGCATTATGGTTCAAATTTCTTTTGGTTTGGAAATAGTTTGGGAGGAAATATACTTATTGCCTTAAAATTGGATTTTCACTTAGCTTGGGGTACATATGGCAGGTCGAAAATGCAAATGACGGTAATGAGGTTGATGAGTGGGACTATGAAGAAGGACCCGCTGAAATCATCTGGCAAGGAAATGAGATCATTCTCAAGAAGAAAAGGGTCAAGATTCCTAAGAAAAACACTGACCAAGAAAGTAGAAAGAAGGTCTGCAACATGAATCTGGAACTTTGTATAGATATTTTGTAGGATAGATTATCCTACAGATAAGTTTCATTTTTGGTTTTACTGATGAGTTTAATTGTAGAGGCTGTCATTTGTTTGACAGGATTCTGATAGGCCTATATCAAATCCTCTCCCTCCACAATCTGAAGCTTTTTCTGATTATAAAAGTTCATCAATGTCAGCACAGCAGCTCATCGAGAGTGTTGCTCAACAAGTACCTCATTTTGGAACTGAGCAGGTATTCCTCTGTCATCTCATTATTGCCCTTATTACCCATTTATGTGTTGATAACTCTTTAATCTTTATATCTCTTCTGACAATACTTCTTATAGTTCATGAGTTGATGCTGCTATTTTGATCAACAGTGAAGATCACTGTCTATAATTCTTTAAGTTATGTACTTTTATATATGACAGGATAAAGCTCATTGCCCTTTCCATTTGAAAACTGGAGCTTGTCGGTTTGGTCAGCGATGTAGCAGAGTCCATTTCTGTCCTGATAAATCTTCCACACTGCTTATCAAGAACATGTACAATGGTCCAGGCCTTGCTTGGGAGCAGGATGAGGGGCTCGAGGTCTGTTAATGCTGTCATGCCTTCCTGTGATTCTTGTATCCTATTTCTGACTTTGGGGGTCTTCATATCCTTCTCTAATCTGTGAAACCTTTGGTTTATTGTTCCTAATCCTACTATGTTAAGTAGGCATATCCGACATCAAATGAACTTTTTTTCCCGTCGTTTGTGGTTGTTTTCAAGCATCAATCATCATAGACTATTGTATCATTTTTTTTGAGCTGTTATTTGTTTGAGGTTTTGTGTTTGATTGCATACCATGTGTCCTAGTTCAGGAATGTGGCTTAGTTCATTTTTTATTCTGTTCATTTGTGAAATGGTACTCTTCTTCTTTGACTTGATTGATCAGAGATTCATTTGCGATATTCGCTTTGGTGGGGATTCAAGCTTTCAGCCTTGGTTCAGTTGGAATCAAAGATACCCCAATAGTGTATCCTTCCTTGCTGGCAATAGTAACTTGTTACCACATAACGTATCCCTTGTTTTCTTATTCTTATTACCATTTATGGCATAAGTTTTCTTCCCTATTTATTTCTTATTTAGACCTCTATTAACCAAGTGTGGGTTGATGTGTATCTCTACACATGTGTTCTCATGCTTTGGAAGTAACTTTTATTCTAATTGCAAACATAACGTTTTATCAATTAAAAGAAAGCTGAGTTACAAGAAAATATGTATTTTTTAAGGGATGTTATAGTCGTCTTTCATCATGATTTTTCTTTTATTTTATGCCAGTGAGAGATATTATGCTTCAGTGTCCATATTGAGATTTTTTTTTTTCTTCTATGTGTTCAATTGTATAATAAGTTCATGAGTTTACTGTAGTAATCCTACAAGTTTTCTTCCTCAACAACTCGTAGTTTGTTGGGCAATATATCTGTTGTGGGAGGTGTTAAAGCTGTCTGATATCACATCTTACATCCCACAGTTTGTGATGGTTGGCTACAACTTTTAGAATTATCTGAATGCAGTTAACTCTTCTTCCACTCTAAACATGTCAAAGGCAAATGAAATGAAAAGAAGAAAGAATCTTTTATGAAAATTGAGTTGCTTATCTTTTCCACAATCAGAATCTGAAGAACGTAAATAATTCAGTTGGAGTTTGTAGCATTATGATCTTTATTATTAAGCATTATAATGAACTGACAATCATAGTTTTTATGAGGTTGCCATACATCTCTGTTAATTTCCTTTTGTTTCTGGCTGCTGGTGTGCTTCTTGTTAACTAATTGTAAATTTTTGTTTTGATAAAATTCTTTCTTTTCACGGCAAAAAAATAGGTACAAATCATATAATAAGCTTTTCTTATTTGCAGAATGTTTGGTTAGAAATGGAAAACTTTTCTTATTTTGATGATATAGTTACCAATTTTCTGTTTACAGTTTTTCTCTAAGATTCTATTGTATCAGGTAGATCTTTGAGTGTCACCATGTTGTGTTATGTTTTCCTTCATTTATCTCTAGGCATGTACGATGTTATTTTTTGTTAGTTGACTCATCTACGTTGATATTCAAGTCAATTACACCTTTTTATAATGCAAAGTTGCAATATTGTTAATTTTTTTAAACAGTCATTCTTAGTGTCTTTAAACAGTTGCCATACCTTTCTGAACACACTGATGTTTCCGTGTTTTGGTGGAGGATGTATGGCTCACCTGTTTTGTATCTTGACAAAATTTAATATTGGGACAGGCCAGTTGCCTCTTTCTATTTTAGTATATGCTGATGATATAATTTTCCTGGTTTCATATTGCTTCCCTCTTTTCAGTATACTGATGAGGAGATTGAGCGCTGCTATGAAGAATTTTATGAGGATGTGCATACGGAATTCTTGAAGTTTGGAGAAATTATAAATTTCAAGGTTTCTGACAGCTTCTTTGTGATTACCAAAATACTTCATATGTTTTCAAAAGTAAAAGGGCAATGGACTGAAATTCTAGACTTTTTCTTGTTACTTTCCTATTCACGCCATACAAATTTTCGGTTGGTAATCTTACAGTGACAAATGGAGTATCTGTGTCAGGTTTGCAGAAATGGTGCATTCCACTTGCGGGGAAATGTGTACATACACTACAAATCACTGGATTCAGCTGTTGTTGCTTATCAATCTGTTAATGGCCGCTACTTTGCTGGGAAACAGGTATTGCACTTTCTTTGTATTTGAATAAGTGCTTATGGGGTGTGATGAGGAAATTTTTCGTTTTTGCTATTCTATTGTTTGTTTGCATGTTGGTAGTGCAAAAGCACCCGTCATATCTCTGCCTACCTTGAAGTTTAATTTAATTGATATCTATACAAGTTGTATAATTGCTTCTAATTGCAGCTGGCTATCAGTTTAACTAACTTCCCTGCTTGCTATTTGACTAAACATTTTTGGGATATCCCTTTCTTTCTTGAATCTCTTTATTATATTTCACTTCCGTAAATTCTGAATTCCCTGCATTCTTAGCATCGCCATCTTGAGGGGTGGTTTGTTGACCTAGTTGTTGTTTTTGGCAGATAAGTTGTGAATTTATCAATGTGACCAGATGGAAGGTTGCCATATGTGGGGAATATATGAAGTCGAGGTACAAGGTATTGTCAGTTCCTTCATTTCCCGTTGTCTTTTTTACTCGTACTTTGTCTTGGTGTTAAATTTTTTTGTTGTACTTTTCAGATTGAATAAGATTTTACAGAATTTTGTTTTGGAGTAATAAACTAAGTTTTGGCTTTAATATGTCAATTCTAACCTTGAAGTCTGAGGATTCTCTTGTTGATAATCATTCTTGTTTAATGTTGCAGACATGTTCCCGTGGTACAGCTTGCAATTTTATCCACTGTTTCCGCAATCCTGGTGGAGACTATGAATGGGCTGATAGTGACAGACCACCCCCAAAATTCTGGGCGAGAAAAATGGTTGCTTTATTTGGTTATTCTGATGCGGATGATAAACCAATGGTGGAAGAAAATTTTGGACAGTGGAGGAACTCTAGCAAGATGTCATTGGGAGATTCTGAGAGGTATGCTTTACTTTGAGCAGCAGCTGTTGAATGTGTTGTCTATAGTACTTCTGAGATCTGTGTTACTGTAGCTTTTGGAATATAAAACAATAGTTGGCCTGCGTTCTACCAGCACAACTTATCATGGTATTAGATTGGGTATTTTTCATTCAAGTCACAACAACTTCAACTTCCCAGTTTACTTTGAATTCCATGCAAAATAGCTAGAAAGACAGACCATCATGCATGTGAGAGTTTGCATTCTAGTAATTTTGTCTTGTTGTCATGCCTGTATTTACATAGCAAAAAAATTCCATCACACACACACTTATATATATCTTGTTCCAACTATATGCAATTATACATCTGAGGCAAGTAAATAATTTTGGTAGAAAGCAGCAGGTGATGGTAACGTGACACTACAACTGCCCACATTCAGGAATTATTTTGTTGTGCTAAATTTTTCCAGGTGCTTGACGTGCGATATTTTAATTTGGGTGAAGTTTGTATAATCTATAATCTCCTGATTTAATTATTTTATGTATTATGAATTTCTATGAGGGCGTAGTTTTCTGTTAGGTGTTAGATTTAGTGCTCCTTATTTTTGTTGGTCTATGTCATTCAACTCTTCTATATTAGCTTGCATTTTTCTTTGGTTTTTGCTTATAGATAGGTTCTCATAGTTTCCAGATTCATGGCAGGTATGGCTTGCGAAGATCTAGATCTAGAGGGAGGGACAGTGATTCTGGTAGAAGATATGACAATGAAAATTATGTTCTAGAGGGAACATGCCGTCAGAAGCGTACAGGTGATGAGGATCTGTGTGAAGAGAACAAGAACTTAAGAAACTACAACCCTAGGAGGAGCAGAAAGTGGGATGCTGAATCTGATGGAGAATTGTTGGAGAGGGAAATAGATAGAGACAGACACCGTGGACATACTAGGCATAACTCAAGACAGCAAAACAGGGACCATAAGAACAAAACCTATGAAACTGAATCTGATGGGGATTTGTCGCAACGGAACAGAAGAGCACAGCATGGTACCAGGAAAAGCTCAAGCCAACAGCGGAAAGTAGAATCCCCAGATGAATATAGGGATCGGGAGAACAAAAATCATGAAGTGAATTGGGACTGGTCAGATAGGGACAGAGACAAAGATGCTGCATACCAGGACAATGGGAGACATTCTGGGCAAAAGAGGAAAGTGAGATGTCGGGGTGATCATAAGGACATCAAGAACAGAGCTCGTGATACTGATGGAGAGCGGTCAGACAACAACATGAAAGGTGATGAGCATGACAGTAGGAGGAAAAGCATGGAACCCTCGTCACACTCCAGCAAAGCTTCTAAATTCTCAAATCACGGGGGAAGAAGCACCAGGTCCTGTAGTACTGACTTAAGTGATGATCTGTTAGAAAACAATGCAGAAAGGCCCCCTAGTCATGCTTGGAAACGATCAAAACGCTTGGATGAAGTGTCAGATATTTCACATGATGATAAAGTCCCAACACTAGATTTGAAACATGGGCGTGATCATTTGAGCATATAGATGAGGGAAGCTGATTCTCTAGTTGAAAATTTGAAATCACGTGGAACCCATGAGTCCAGCAGTGTGGGTCCAGATGATACAAGATTCAACTCTGATGTACTCACGGACAAAGAGGATCGCTGGGAACCCGAAAATAGTTCCGTTGAGAATGAGATATACCATACTTCTAAAAGAAAGGCTGGAAGTTCAGAGAGTTGCGATTCTGGTAGGCCAGGTCCATCTAAGGGAAGAGATGAATCAAGTGATTTTGATTCGGAAGTCTACTACTACAGTAAAATTGGCTGGGAAAAAGGCGAAAAATCTGACAGGGTAACTCATTCCGAACATGGAAAATCAAGGAGAAAGTCTAGAAACAAGGATCGCAAGCTTGACAGTGATGACAGACCTCGGCAGGGTAGCAGCCAATCTAGCCACAGGAGACACTCAAGTGGCTTGGATGATGCCACAGATTCATCCGATGGTGACAAAGAATCTGTAAGGAAACACAAGAGGCACCATGCAGGTCATAGATCTCGTGATCACAAACGACCAAGGTTAGCCCCTTGAGATTCGTCTCTAAGAGTTGTTAGAAGTCTGTCCACAAGGAAGAATGTAACTTATTACAAATTTAACCTGTTTACAGATATGTAGGCTGTGAAACCGTGTTCTCTTCTTTTTTTTCCAAAGGGGAACACCTGGTGGCAAGCCACGGTTATCCATCCCTTCCTCTTCTCCCTGACCACAAGTTTGGCTTCCACACCAGTAGCAGGTTTCAAACCCGAGACCTTCAATTTTTAGTTTTATGAAAGTCTCGTAATCCGCTATTTACCACACCGTGTTCTCAGTTATCAGTTAGTTGTGAAACCCTGTTCTTATTATATTGGTTCCATGTTATCAGTTAGTTGTGAAACCCTGTTCTTATTGTATTGGTTCCATGTTTTCAAATGAAATTGTGAATGGGTTTTTTTTTAAATGAAATTGTGAATTGGTGCATTTTCGAATTCGACGTATATTATGATAGGTGTCTGCTCATACATCGGCTGGGAAAACGGTGGTGGCGTCGTATGCAATTGCAATGTCTCTAAGAAAAAAGCAGAGAGTGATATACACTTCACGAATCAAAGCACTGAGCAACCAAAAGTATAGAGAGTTCAAAGAGGAGTTTTCCGACGTTGGTTTGATGACTGGCGATGTAACTATCGGCCCCAATGCTTCCTACTTGGATGCTATGCACGCATTTTTTTGGTTGGCTTTTTTGGGTGTTTTTTCTTTGTTGGGCTTTTGTCACGATACTTTCAAATTCTATGACATGTATAATTCTTAAGTGCGCGTACAACTATTATTAAATTGACATACCAATATACCTTACCATTTAAGAAATGCTACTCTGCCAGTCTGCCTTGTACAACAATTTAACTGAGATATTTCGCTACTGCAGGATTCCTACACGAATGCAAAAACACGGACAGAAGCAGTGAAGTAAACGGATGCCGAAGCCGACAACACAATTCAGGACCCGAGTGGTGGAGGCGGCAGCATAACATCTCTCCTTTGTTGTTGTTGCTTTGGGCGTTTGTGTTTGTATAACCGGTACGCCATACACAGGATTTGGATCCGTTTATTGCTGATAAGATGTGGTCGGAATTGGATGGAGATACTGTGTGCTGCTGCTGCTGACCTTGGTGTTGAAAGCAGTTTCTTGTTGGCTTGGAACTGGATCATGATGGTGATAGGCAAACTCTGGAGCAGGCTGGACTGGAGGTGCCAAAGGAGTCTCGTAGATGTAGTCAGCATCCAACCATGGTGGTAAGGGTGGAGCCGAGGGTTGGGTTGAGGAGGAGGAGTATGAGCAGCAATAGTGGCCGGGTGGTGGCGGTGGTGGTCGTCGAGGTGGTGGGGGAGGATAATAGAGTTGGTGGTGAGTCTTCTTTTTTCTCTTTTTTTCTAGACCAAAACTTGAGCTTCTTCACAGTTGTAATCATTTCTTCTCTTTTGACTGCGAGCAGTTGAAGGCCGGTGGAATTTGGAATTTCGGTGAGAGCAGCAGCCTGAGCAGGAGGAATTGATAAGTTTGTAAACACTGAAAAGCTTCTTCCTCACGAAAAACTTGGCGCAATTCACTTGCAAGCAAGAGATACAAGGCTATACATTTATGTACAAAAGCTCGATTCAACATGTCTCAACGAGTACAAAAGGTAGAAAATAAATTTCAAAAAAAAAAAAAGAAGATGAACAGCATGTACCTTGCCGTACACAGTGGAAAACTTTGGTAGCCCAGTTGGGTCCAAACAAGCAAGCACTATGAGCTCCTCGCGACAAAAGAACAAACAATAACCAAAACACCCAACCTCTGCTGCAATCAACAATTCTTCGGATTGCATGTGCATTATAGACCGCTGCCCCGCTCCATATCAGCATGCAGGGAAACTTGGCATGGATCATCGCCAACCACGGATCATCCCCAACCATCATCATGTCATCTTCATCATCGGTGTAGACAACCTGCCATTTCTTTGTAGACCTACAGAGCTCACCTTCAATATCGAACATCTCTTCTAGTTTCTTAAGCAGATCCTCGTACCGCTCAAACCGTGTCAAATCTACAGCTCTTCCAACAGCGATCCCTTGCATGTGAACCTAAGAAATTTAAAAAAGAAAGAAAAACTCAGCCAGATAGTCACCACCAACACCTAAGGCCCAACGACTTATTAAAAGAAGGAAGTGGCATGAACCGGTGCAATGTCCAATTCAAAATGTATTGTAATAATAAATGCAATAGTATTCAGTCGATCAGTCAAATGACAGTAATGACAGTAATGACTATGTTGGAATAGTATTCAGTCGACCTAAAGTTGTTTGGAATATTATTCAGTCGACCTAAAGTTTCTGTGCTAAATGGCTCAAGCAATAGTATTCAGTCGACCTAAAGTTGTTTGGAATAGTATTCAGTCGATCTAAAGTTTTTGTGCTAAATGGCTCAAGCAATAGTATTCAGTCGACCTAAAGTTGTTTGGAATAGTATTCAGTCGACCTAAAGTTTCTGTGCTAAATGGCTCAAGCAAGTCAACTCGTATGTCAACTCGTATCACAACACCACCACAGCGGCCATGGATCACCACACCACCACAGCGGCCTGTCAATAGCACTCTGATTTTTTTTATTAATTTCTAAAAATCAAACATAATCCTCAACTATAAAAATTAAATTCTCTCTAAACAGAACATAACTTGGATGCTTAAAAATCAAACAGTTAATAAAAGGAAGTAGAACAATTAGGTTCATTGAATCTTCTCCATTATAATTGCCTATCAATAGATAAGCACAATTAAAACATCTCCAGTATTATTTGGGAATAGGAAGCCACTTCCTACCTTTTCAACGCCTCCATGTTATTAATTCATGAATTTGATTAAATCTATTTTTTATGTAGTTTTTGTAGGAACTGATTCTGCATTGAGTAACAAAATGATTCTGCATGAAGTAACAAACTGATTCTGCATGGAGTAACAAAATGATTCTGCATTGAGTAACAAACTGATTCTGCATTGAGTCCACATAGCATATGTTATACTGCAGCTCCAAATTTAGAGGGAAGTCAAAAAAGAGAGGTGGGATATCATCCTTTACAGGTCACTATATATCTCTTCATTGTACAGGTTGTCCATTGACTACAGCTATTTGTATTAAACAGTAATTCCTTATGGTTTTTGACATTATTAAGCAAAAACATCATTTCAAAGGATGCAGTTACACAATTCAACCCACTGAGCCAATAAATCCAAGGACTAACGAAAAACAGCATGGTTACCTGTAGATAAACTTAAAGCTCGGACGTACCTGTTCCATATGACCATGTGGAAAGTAAGTAATAAACTCGCTCCCCTTCGTGTGGAAGGGTGACGAGGAGACCAGCGCAAGCATCCTATAAATGTTTTACTTGGATTCTTTTCACTCCTTGGCTTATTAGATGATACATTGTTTTGTTGTCGGCTTATCATCCTAACTTTAAACTACATAAAAAACTTGGATGTATCATGTTAGGTAGATCACTCTCCACTGGATGTAGGTAGCATAAGATATGGCTATCAAATCACACGAGGAACAATTCCCTTACATAGCCATGACCTGTGGTAATCCTTAAACTCAAAGGATCAGAATTTTTCTATAAATGCAAAATGAAGTTTTATAAGTGAGCCAATTCTTAGGGTCTATAAAAACTCAAACATTCCAGTTTAATTAAGTCATCCAGCACTTAGCCTTCTGTCAGAAAACTTGACATACTCCTGCTCATTCACTACAATGAATTTATAACTTCTCTAAAAAACTTAAATACGTTTATGGTAAAACAATTTTAGTAAAAGCATTAATAAAATAATTACTCCCAAAAATCTAACTAAGGCATGGCCTCAATAAGATTTGTATCCACATTAATGCATAGTTTGATACCCTACTCTTATCGCTAGGTACAAGAGTTTGATTGCCATCACTTTATGTACGAGAAATTGGCAATTTAACCTCCGAGTTGTTTTGGTGCAATTTGAATGGGAGAACCAACATTGAAGACACAAGTAGTATATTGTCAAGCAAGGAGTATAAAGTTATAAACCAACCATCTAAAATAAAAACACGAACAAAGTGCCAGCACAATCACACTGGCTATAAGGGAAAGAAGAGGGAGAGAGAGAGAGAGAGCAAATAATTGAAAGAAGCAGACTAAAAACTAACTGAGTCGAGTCAGTCGCACACAGCCAGGTTCTCATACTCTTTGCCAGAGATGGCTGCTTCCATGACATGGTACGGGCCAACTTCCCCATTACTATCCAAGAACAACTTCAACAAGTTGTCCGAGAAGCCATCCAGGGTGCTCACCCCTGGTCGCCTACAAGGCGCCACGGGAGTCCCCCATGACTGGAGCTTCCAATACACAATCTGCGGCACCGCATCTTCGTACCCTTTCGCCTTAAACTTGTTTTGTATTGCCTCATAATCAGACTCCGCCAGGTCAATGGTTTGGAAGTCGGTCAACACCAAGACCTTCTTGATCATCTGATCCGGCCTCAAATTCCCATCCACAGCCACCTCGAGAATCAGATCAAACACTTTGCCAAGATCAATTTCCAGGGCGCAATGCATCCTCCTCACAAACGCGCACATGGACTTGAGATCATCATCGCCCTGCGGTGTGGCCAAATTGTGCAGCTGAGGGTTCGAACTGAAATTGATCACCTTTCCTTTCCACGGCTCTTCACTCAGTTGGGACGCCAAGACTGACAAGGCCACCGACACATTCATGTGGGCCACTGTAGGCGAGACGTTACACACGGCCAAGCAGTTGCTCAACTTATTGCCCTGCTTCAAGTAGATGTCCTCCACCATTCTCCTCCACTGAAGCTCAGCTGCTTGCCCGACATCCTCATCATCCACGTACCCTATGATGTCATGTGGGAGGAGAGCGCCGGGCTCAATGGGCTGGCCGAGGCCGCCTTTCAACTCATCCAAATACTTCTTAACGGGGCAGAATCCTCGATGAGTGAGCGAGGAGTTAGAGAGCAAGAAGTTTGTCAAGGGCACCAGCACCTCCGTCCGGAGGCGAGCTCGGACTCTCTGGGCGTAATCAAGGCCTTGGTATTCCTCCTCCGGGCATGATTCTTCTCGGGGGAAAAGAATCCTGGCAATGCTTTCGCAGAGCAGAGTGGAGGAGCGGTCCAGGGAGGAGCCGATGGGAGGGCAATACAACGCTGCTGAGCTTATGTCCATGTAAGGCTGCTGCTGCTGCTGCTTCAAGTTTCGCATATCAGAGCGCAAGTGGTCCGCAAAGAGATCAGAAACCCGGTCGAGTAAGAAGCGATAATCCGAGTCACCCTCGTACCTGTCACGGGCTCGTGCAAGGCGGTTGAGAATCTGGACGAAGTCATCCATAGTCCCGACCGACTCGGTAAACTCGCCGGCGATAGAGGCGGCGTTGCAGGCAAGAGTCTTGGGGTGGTTGCGGTGGAGCCATAAGGCGGCACTGTAGAAGGCTTTTTCATCAGATTTTCCGAGATCATTCGAATCGTCCCGTAGGTTACAAATGAGCTTGAGGGTGGTGAGGGGATTGTGGGACCAGGCCATCGGCAGCACTTGGTTGAGATATTTATAGGCCGTCCGCGTCCGGGTGGCTGGGTCTGGTTGGACTTGGACGCCAAAATACAGATCAAGGCAAGGGTCCCCCATGGATTGGGGTTGTTTGCGCAGATCTGCGTCTGAAGGCGGGGGAGGACGAAGAAGAAGATCAGCAGCAGCGGTTGTGTAATTGCTTGCCTTCACAACCGAGGGGAGGATTTTTTTGGCAGGATTCGTCATCATCATCTTCATCGTTACTTTGTTTTTGTTTTTTTGAAACCGGTTTTGTTCGCAGGGTCGGGGCGTTGGGTGTTTCTTTGGTACTAGGTAGTATGGAATACCACGACAATTGAATGACGTGGATCCCGGAAAACCAAACTATTAAATGCCCGTATCAGTATCAGCCGTGAGAATGCAATAATCTATTGTCATCCATAAATAAGGGAAGAACAAACAAACAACTAGAATGTGATTAGGTTTCTTAATAATAATGACAACAAACAAACAACTAGAATGCGATTAGATTTCCTTAATAATAATAATAACAACAAACAATTAGAATGTGATTAGATTTCCTTAACGATAATAATTAGAATGCGAATGGATTTCCTTAACAATAATAACAACAAACAAGTATTAGAATGCGAATGGATTTCCATAACAATAATTAGAATGCGATTAAATTATCAAGTCTTACATTTCAAGAAGTTGAATCCACGGAGAATAATATTTTAGTTAAACATCTGCAAGAAGAGCTTAGAAACTTTGTAAGTTTTGTTGCCGATCTTTTCTTTCTAATGAATCAAATTGTTTCTTCCTATTGAATCTTCAGGTTCTCTATGAAGTTGATTGATGATCATTCTTAATTAGTTCTTTTTTTTTTACAAAAAAATCTTCAGCCCTCGAAAGATTAATTTTTGGTTTGGCGGTTTATAAAATTCTGAACATTAATGATTAAGTAGCCAATATGTCTGTATATGTTCGATGGTGCATGCATTGTTAGTTTGGTAATGTGATTTGGGTCATTTGGCCTAGGGGTAAGGAGTATATTGTTATGCGTAGTTGTGGTAGTTTGAGTTTTGCCTCATCAACCTTTTATATTTCAGCATAGATTTTGTATTGTTATAGAAGATGAAGAAGGGTAAAAGTTTATCATTTGGTATAAAAGAAATTGTAGAATTCTGAACAAAAAGAAAAATTTTAAAATACTTTGGGCGAGAATATTTTCTTTTGTGTTATTAGGAAGTTTGAACAGATTTCGAGAAGCTCCCGTTTGAAAGAGAGTTGTGTATGACTGATTTCATCTTTTCTAGACTAATATCTTTCTCTTGACTAGATATGTCCCTCCTTTGACTAGTCTGCATTTCTTTTGTATTTCAATAACATTTTCTTTCTAAATTCCTAGGATGCTGAAGTAAGGGAAGCAAGAAAGCTGAAGTCAGCTCATGAAAATGTTGAGTTATTGAAGGAAAAATTGTTGGAAGAAAAGAGGCGTAGAGAGAGGGTAGAAGCAGAGTTATCCAAACGACAAGAATTACAGCTTAGTATGAAGAAGTTGGAGGATGAATTGACTTCTTGGAAGTTGATCATTGAAGACATTCCAGGCGTGTCATGTTCTGAGGATTTACCAGTTAAATTCGCATCATTACAAAAGTATGTGAATAGCTCATTTCAGTCCTTTGAACCAGCATTGTTAGATCATTTAGACGAATGAATAAATTCATAAGCAGAGGCCTAAACAGTGAGGCTTTCCTTGATGCATCTTATTCTTCTTCCATTGACAGATTGATGTGCAACTACAGCTGAATCCAGCGATTCCTTGACCCTTTTCTTCTTGAAAATCATCTCATTTCCTTGCGGGGTGATTTCAGCAGGCGCCTTATTGTACATTGTCCCCCAATCATCAACCTCACTACCGTCCTTTGAATTCCGGACCTGCCATACACACCGCAAGCAATAGGCAACAGGCAATAGGGCTACCAAACGGAAAGTAATATATAACCACAATGCTAAGAAGGAGTTGATCTGCCATCCCTCTAAACAGAATTTTGAAGTATCCTAGTTCTAGCAGACAACGCATCTATGCTACCCATTAAATATTAGCACAAGCAGTGACCTAACATTAACAACCTTCATTTCACAACACACTATATTTTTAGTTTGGTTTCCAAATGAAAGACCATGCCTCTTAACACGGGCAGGAACCTATCATATCATGTTCAGACTCAACTTGAAGAGTGACTTCGGGAGAGGGAATTGCTGCAGTCTCAACTTGTACCGTTGTAGGCTGCTTCTGCCTTTTCTGATAAGTTTTGTGGACAACCGGAGGTACAATTCCCTGATTCTTATCCGTTATCTACTGATCCTATTGAATCTAACCTTGATAATTTAGAACCTCTTATCAACCGACAACAGAAGCCTCTTGCAACCCCATATAAAAAGACCACTGCTCCACAAAAGGGGCTTACAGATGATGCGACCAAAAAGAAACAAAACGGGGGTACAAACAATGCAGAATCAGCAGCAGTCGTGACCAGTAAGGAACAGCACAATTAGAATACAGAAAGAAAATGACAGTGAACATTTTTCACTTTCCAACACTTACTCCCTAAACAAGCAGAACCCACAACCAAGTGGATAATTAATATTATTTGGCAATCCTATTCATCCTGAGCAACATTTCATCACTAATTATTATATCAAGTGTCTCGGTTAATCGCATTTCAGGCACAATCTCGAAAACAACCAGGCCATAAACTAGTCAAAACTAACGGCACAAATAAATCGATGAACTACATATAGTGAATCAGTTAAAATTGGAAGAACTCTTCATTCCTCAGCAAACAAACAAATACGATTACGAATACCAATACAAATATACAAATGCATAACAGAAATCCAAAATCCAAAATCCAAAATCACAAATCCCAATCCCGATGTACGCCGTAAATTACATAACAGAAATTCAAAATTTGCAGTCCAATACGTAAAGATTGATAAGAAAAAACGACCTGTTGATTCCGAGACAGCTCTTCCTCAACCTCAAGAGACTTGACTCTTCTTCGTTCCTCTTCCTCTTCTTGCTCCTGAATTTGTTTCTTCCTCTTAATCTCCATGGCTTCGATTCACGCCCTCTCTCGCTCCTCGAAATTTTCCTCTCTCCCTCCCTCTTCTTCATTGCTTTCCTCTTCTCCTTCCCATTCCTCGCTTTCTCTGCTCCTAAACGCTCCGGTTTGGGCTCAATACCTCATTCTCCTCCTTCGGCCACCGCCACCACCATTGTCGTCCCCTTGGAAGAGCTGTTTGACGGTGTGAACGACAGCGGCGGCTTCAAATTAGTTGGACCGGAGTCTTGGAGGAGCTGAACAAAGTGGTGGAAGTTTTCAATCTTGCCTTGCTTTGCAAATACCTCCTTCACCTCCCTTAGATATGCCAACGACTCGCTTTTTGTTGATTTCATCGTCTTCGTGTCGTAGGCGTTTTCTTCTTGTTGCTTGGTTTCTAAGACAAACTCAAAGGAATTACAGAAGACAAATAAACAGAAAATATGAGAGGAGAGAGTATTTATAACTCGGGGTCAATGCCTTGTTTCAAGAAGTTTTAACGAAAAATTAACGGTACTGTTTATTTTAACAAAAAATTATATTTTTACACTAAAAGGTCAAATATAATACTATTTACTTTACCCTTTATTTTGTCTTTATCATTAAAACTCAAAGTTTTCAAGCCATTTTCATTAGTTTTCTTTTGTTTCAAAATGATTCCTAGCTGCAAGTGGCAAGTGTTACAAAAATTGATTTTATTTTAAATTTTGCTGAAGGGGCAAAATTGGATTTTAGAATTTTGCCGATGCAGGGTACAAATAGCAAATGGGGTGCGATATTCACACATCCATTTTACTTCTCAAACATCTTTTTAATTTTTGATCGTTGGATTGGATGAATTGAAATTACCACCTATTTTATTTTTCACATATCTTTTTAATTTTCGACCGTTACATCGGATGAATTAAAAAAGATAAATTATCGTGTGAGATGTAAAATAGGATATGTGATTGCACACCCATACCAAATTTCATGGGTGGAGACAGAAATCCCCCAACGGATCGGATAAAAGACCGGCGGGCATAGGAGAGCAACGCAGAGTGCGAGTAGTGAGTGAGCTCTGAAAAGAAACGGCAACAATGGCGGCCTCTGCAACTGCAACAATTTCGTTATGCTCTTCATTCGCAACCCATTGCAAAATCTCGCAAAACCTTCAAACTCTGGCAACCCATTTCAGCTTTCCGTCTCTCTCCTCTTCTTCTTCCCACAAGCTGTCTTCTTGCTCTTTATGGCGACCCACATTCCCGCTTCTGATCAAGTCGTCGGAGTTGGATTCAGCCGTGGTCGTCGAGGCCGACTTTCAAGGTCCCGAACCAGAGGCCGGGCCCGATGATTCGGAGCCAGCGGCCTTGCAAGTCGTGGAAACCCCTTCGTCGGATGCCCCAAAACGAGAGCAGCTGTTCGGCGTTGTCATGGTATGCATTCAATTTCACTTCTTTGATTGTCTTTGTGGTTACCCAGATAAGAATTTTAGCTGATTACATGCTGCTAAATTTCGTTTTTGGTCGTTAATTTGGTGTTTAGTGGTGGTTTAGTGCTGATTACCAGTTTATATAGATGACATTTTGGTTTTGTATTACATTTAAGAGAAAAAATTGAAGTCGGGGTTTTCTAATCAGCTCAAAAATTGTTAGTCTTACTACTGGGGTTGCTTGTGTATGATGCCTAATAGATCGGTGGGCGCCAGTACATTGTCATTCCTGGACGATTTATCTATACTCAGCGGCTAAAAGGCGCTAATGTCAACGACAAGGTATGATATTCTTCACATTCTTCACTATTCGTTACTTGAATTCCTGTCGTTGTTGCTCCATTTCGGCTTTAGTTTTAGTTGTACGGAATTATCTAGCTGTTAATTGTAGTTTTAGTGCAATGCCTAGCTTTAATAGTATCTTTATGCATCACTGTTACTAGAATCACACAACTGGAGTGGTTTTGTTGAAGTTCATATGCTTTTACTTCTTGGGTTGGATGAGGAACATTCCATTTCCAACGCCATTTCCAGAAATAGGCCTCCAATATTAGACTCGTCAGTTGATTTAACCTGTGATATTAGGTGACTTTCGGCTAATCTTACAGCACATCATAAATTGTAGAAACCATTATTAAAACAAAATGTGGATTGGAAATGCTGCAATCAGTCATTTCAAGACAAATTGTTAATATGATACATGCAAAAAGTCTGACTAGAAATTTTATGTTGGTGCTTCTTTGAAATAAGCAAGAAGAAGACCTAACAAAGGTTAGGAGACGTCGGTAGAGTGTAAAGATAGGCAGGAACACTAGTATAGTATTGTGAAAACGTGTATATAGACATATTGGAGTCCGCATTTAGGTAGGCGTTCTAAAGAGGTAAGGACCCGTGGAAGGCAATCTCATAATTGTTGGAGGACTACCTGCTAGACATATTTAGTGGTCCCTTAATTGATTGGATTGTCTTCGTTTTGAAGAAGTAAAGTAATCCTTTTGTAGCCAAGTTGCTGCTCCGGCATGTTATATTTGGTTTATAAGAATCCTGGTTGGTCTGTCGTAGTGATAGTTATATTTGCTGATTTAGAAGGAATTTATTTTGTAATAATATTCTTGTGATTCCGATTTCAAATTATCAATCACTTGAACAAGGATTTAGTTTATCCAAGCTCAGTGGTTCCCTACGCCCCTTCCGGCACGAGTCTAATTTTAACCCTATAGAAATGTACTCTTGCTTTACTGGACTTCATGAAAAATTGGAGAATACTGTGGCCTGGTGGCCTCTAGTTTAGCCTTTAAGGGCTTTGAAATCAGTTATTCTCCCTATTATAAAACCAGTGATGTTATCAGTATTGGATCTTTATTTTCTAAGAAGTTACCGCTGCTTTGTCCTCAAGGTGTTTAAACTTGATCTTATACAGATTGTTCTCGACAAAGTGTTGCTGGTGGGGACTAAAACAAGTACGTACATTGGAAAGCCAGTGGTGACAAATGCCGCTGTACACGCTGTCGTTGAAGAGCAGGTAATTCATTACATTATATGGAATCTCTCTCTTTTACCATTGTAAAGAAGGTCTGTATATTTGTGAATTTGTTTGCGTTTAGTTAGTATCTTTTTAATATTTTCTGTGTCTTATTGTTGCGTATCCTTATGCAGGGACTTAATGACAAAGTGGTTGTCTTCAAGTATAAAAAGAAGAAAAATTATAGGAGAAACATTGGTCACCGACAGGTATTACCCTCATTTCTTTGTGAACCAACCAGAACATTTGATTTTATTCATAAGTGCAATGACTATTCTTTATGTTATCTGTGTAGTTACTTCAATTGACTTGATTTCATACATCGAAGCAAGGAAAGAAAATGAGTTTCGTTATTAATATGATGATAGAAACTAAACTAGTGCATACATCTATATGCATCATGCATTTTACGGCAATGAGGCTTTGCCTCTCAGTTGGTTGATTACCCTACCTTTTATTTACTCTAGTTCAAATCCGAGTCCTATTTCCAGATGTGAGTCTTGAACAAAACAATACTCTAAACCTCGATTTAGTTGACCAGTGGTATCAGGGTCAACCAGGTACTAACGTGTAGGCTTGGGGAACGCTGTACAATCCTGACAATATTTTCTGGGATAATTTATGCATGAAATAAATGAAGATATGTATCTTTGTAGTACGAACTGGTGAATCTTGCCGAGTCATCACATGTGATTTGCTGGTACCCCAACCAAAGTCAATTGTTTCGATTTATCGTCGTAGATAGGACACAATATTTCCTTATAGTTTCCTGTATGGTTTTCCTCTAATGTCCCCAAGGAGTTTGGTAGTCCTGTATGATAAAAAAGAGAGCTTATATATATGTCCTTGATCAATACACATCACTAATCTCCGAATTGCGTATTCCTGTTTTGATGATTTAACTCGTTTGTCATGTATCCAGCCGAATACATGCATAAGGATAACAGCGATCACGGGCTACCAAGACTATCCAGCAGTTACTCTCGAGTCGTAGGGCTGCATAGGAAGGTTTGAAGGTATGATTCGTGATTGGTTTTGTGCGTCTTGTGAAACGTTATGAAGTAATGAATCTTAAATTTCTTTTTTCATAGATTCGTTTTGGTTCTCATTTTGTATGTAAGCTGGTATATGGATCAACGTTCGTTTCAATTCCACTATCGATTTGTATGTCGTTACTAATTTGACATGATTGCAAGTAACCCCTTCCAAGTTCCTGCACAGGGTTGAAATCATCTCAACCTTCAACAATTTACACTGCGGCCTTGTACAAATTCATTATTTTACCACGTCATATCTATTTCTAAGGTTCACCAAGGAGGATTCGACCTTGGGTGGACATAGAGCACAGACGCTGTGCACAACTCATGTATGCATAAACACACTCTTCGTTTTTTGAACATGCACTTGAGTCTCACATGTGAGGATAAGATGGTCATTTCATCCCTTCCATTTCATCCCTTCCATAGTCACTCCCCATTCAAAAACAAAGATATCACGAACTGAAATCGCATCCGGGTGCGCAACTGAATTCTTTGATTGAACTACTTCTTGATTGATGCTGCTCCTTCCATCTTTTCATTTCGGTTTTAGATTTGGTTTTTGTTTTGGATTTTGATTTTAGATTGATGCTGCTCATCTTCTATCTTGTAGTTTAGGAATAGAGGTTGAAGTGTTGGATTTGTTATGGGGATTGGGATGAAATGACCATTCATTCTCAAGGATTCATAATCACCATTGACAAATATGGTTCCAATCAATAAGCACAACAAACTACCAAGACATGAAATTCAACTTTGATAACCCGATTACAAAAGCGTAAAAAAAAAAAAAAAAAAAAAAAAAAAAAAAAAAAAAAAACACAGTGGACTCCCACATATGAAAGTATCAAAATACAATGTATCCAAAATAAAATACGAGCACTATCAGGTTTTCTTCTACCATAGGTTCTGATTTTTGTGGACAAAGCTCTTGCCAGGAGGTTTCCATGGTGCAACACTTTGTTTAGAAGTGGTTGGTGGATGAGGAGGCCATACCAATTATTCGCTTAGCCATCAATGTGGCTTTTCAAACACAAACCAAACCTCTTATTTCAGTAAAAGAATTTTCTTATGTACTTTTGTTCCGGACTAGCTTTATTATATTTATCTAATAGATTAAAAAAATGTGTTTTACAATAGTATTGTTATGAAACCAAATCCTTGTATCAACTAACCTTCTTTAGTTAGTCACCCTTTTGCATGATTTGTTGAATAGTGAAACCACGCTTAAATCCAAATTTTTTTACCACATGAACTATCTTCCGAATACTTTATGATCACGATGACCATTTATCCGATTAGACATTTCATAAAATTCTCTCAAATTGAGATATTAAACTGACAACTTTGAAGTTTTAGTTCACTTTCACATCCATTTTAAAGACGAATTAACTGTTTAAGTTAACTATTAAAAAATTGAAAATATCTATAAATATTAAAAAAAAATTGTATTAAACATTCAAAATGAAGGGGGTGATGTAAAATTGAATTAAAAACCTTTGTGTTAGGTTATTCAATACGGAATTGGATCCCCTCCTGAGCAAATGATGGGGATCCTCATGACCACACAATACGGGCCGTTGAATTTTGATCCAACGGCTACATTTATTATAACTTTTAGAAAGACTCCATGTTTGTAGCCGTTAGATCAAAATCCAACGGCCTGTGTTGTGTGGTCATGAGGATCCCCACCATTTGCTCAGGAGGGGATCCAAATTTCCATTCTAAACCCTAATGTAGATGATGTGGCATGTCCACGTAGGCCTGCCTCCCTTCTCCTCTCCTCACCAGTCTAAAACCCTACTAGGAGGAGGAATGCGCATTCGCACCCAAAATCCATAAAACCCCTCCCTCTCACCGCCAATTTTTCAGAAATGGCTGCCGCTTTCGTATTTGAGCCCCCAAGTGACGAAGAATATTCCGACGCCGAAGAACAACAACCGCAGGAGGAGGAGGAAGAAGATGAACACGAAGAAGACGAAGAAGCCCTGAAACCCTCGCGAGCTTCTCGCCACTCTGAGTCCCCGTGGGACTTCGCTTCCTACTCCGAAACAGTCGCCCAAGAACATGCTCGCCGGAGCACCACCTCCGTCGATTTCAAGATCTCCAAAGCCCTGCAGCAACGATCAGTCCCCGGTGCCGTTGCCCACGACGATGATGGTAGCTCCGAATCCCAATCCGAATCCGAACCCGAATCCGACAAACAGGTCTGTGTCTTGTTGATTTTACTCAAATTCATTCAATCAATTCAATGGGTATAAAATTACTTAAATTAAGCTATGTTGTTGGTGTTGGTAATTTAGGAAGATTATAAGCCGGAAGATGATGAAGTAGTTGATGATGCCACTAATGCCGGTGTTGGTAAAAAGCCATTTTTCTCCCCATCAGATGGAACCTCCTTTCATGCAAACTCGTTCATGGAGCTCCATTTGTCTCGCCCTTTGCTTCGGGCGTGTGAGAAACTGGGTTATACCAAGCCCACTCCTATTCAGGTCTTGAATCCTGTTACGCTTACAATCCATTTCCTGTTGCTTTCATTTCAGTTCACTGAATTTGTTGGGCTTTGTATGTAGGCGGCGTGCATACCATTAGCTCTGAGTGGGCGGGATATATGTGGGAGTGCCATTACTGGTTCTGGCAAGGTATATTACTTCTCTTTTTGGTAGAGTAACCATTACAGTTAGAGGTGCGGTTTGTGTGTTATTACTTTTAGTGATAGTCGAATCAAAATTATCTTCGTTCACTTCACAACTGATCTTTCTTTTCATCTCAATCTGTTTAACGCTTTTCTCGGCTTTTTTACACAGACTGCTGCTTTTGCGTTACCTACTCTAGAAAGACTATTGTTTCGTCCAAAGCGGGTGCCCGCTATTAGGGTCCTCGTTCTCACCCCAGCCAGAGAACTGGCGGTTCAGTAAGTTTTAGTTCCATATTCAGTTATCTTATTTATACGTTATTGTCGGTTACTGTTCCTTGACTACAGTTTTCTGGACAGTATTGCTTGGTTTTAGGAATAATTTCCTTTGTAAAACATCTTTTAGGATCTGTCCTTTTATCTTGTCATTTTAGTTTCAGTCTAACTTTTAACATGCTTTTCAGGGTTCATAGTATGATTCAGAAACTTGCCCAGTTTACTGATATCAGATGCTGCCTGGTTGTTGGAGGGCTTTCATTAAAGGTTTGATTCACTTCCATTTCTTAATGCCTTAACTGTCAGATTCCTGGTTTGAGGTTGGATGCCTGGCATCCCTTGAAACATTAAGTTCCAAGGTAAAATAGCGTACCTCCAACATCCAATTATTATATTCCCTCTATCCTTGCATAAGTGAGTGAGGTCAAATATTTTAACTCAATATTTGGACCTTGTAGCTAAATGGAAAACCTATGTTACCCCTCCCAAGGGGAAAAAAACATATTAAGTGAAAGTGAATGAATTATCCACTTGGCATGCATAATGATTTCCAGTCAATTTTTCTTATTAACTTTTTCTCTCATTTCCTTTTTCCAAAAATATTCAAGCGATGGCATTTTTTTATCAGGCACAAGAGGCAGACTTGAGAACAATGCCAGACATTGTTGTGGCTACTCCAGGACGCATAATCGATCATTTACGCAATTCAATGTCTGTGGATTTGGATGATCTTGCTGTTCTAATTCTTGACGAGGCAGATCGCCTTTTGGAGGTTGGATTTAGTGCTGAGATTCGTGAGCTGGTATGCCCTGCCCCCTTCTTGATGCAAGCATGTGAAGAATTGAAATATTTCTGATTGAAAATAATTTAATATTTTTTATATATTAGTAAACAATCTCTAATCATAAGTTTTTATGCAGATTCGTGTATGCCCCAAAAGGAGACAAACCATGCTATTTTCAGCTACAATGACTGAAGAAGTTGACGAGCTTGTCAAGCTTTCTCTAACCAAACCATTACGCCTCTCGGCTGACCCATCTGCGAAACGGCCAGTCACACTAACAGAAGAGTAATTAATTATACCCACTATACCATTTTGCTTTGTTCAATTTGTATCATTACCTGTAGCAATTTGACTCTATAATAAGGGTATGTATGTTGATGTATGAATTAAATCACCTTTTTGTCTATTGTCATTTTGGATGTCATGTAGAGTGGTTAGGATACGACGGATGCGTGAAGTAAATCAGGAAGCAGTTCTACTTGCATTATGTTCAAAGACATTCACAGCCAGAGTGATCATATTCAGGTTTGTAATATCTCCTTAAACCATTATTGACTAAATAACAAATATTTATTCCGAGTGCCTTCCTCATATTGGCTGATATCTTTTGTTAGTTCTGTGTAATGATTGTTTATTTTCTCTGGCAGTGGCACAAAACAGGCTGCACATAGGTTGAAGATTTTGTTTGGGTTAGCTGGGCTTAAAGCTGCTGAGCTTCATGGCAACCTTACACAAGTCCAGCGTCTAGATGTGAGTAACTTGTGTGCTTAGTAAAGTTTGGTTTTGTGGGTTATTTGTATAATTAGTTAGTGAAGTTTGCTCGCCTGCTTAGTTATATCTAATGGTAAAGAAGATTGGCAATAACTGTTGGATATCTTGGTAGTTGAGCTTATTTTCCTTTTTATTAATATGTGAAAATCTTTTCTGTTATTGTTTGTGTAGGCTTTGGAACTTTTCAGGAAGCAGGGAGTTGACTATTTGATTGCAACTGATGTGGCTGCTCGTGTAAGAACTAATCCTAGCTTCTTTTTTTCTATTTTTTCTGTACATTAGCACTTCCAGATGTGTGTTCTTACTCACTCAGAACTTTGTTCTCGAATTTTGAATCTCTCTCTCTCTCTCTCTCTCTCTCTCTCTCTCTCCAACTTTGTCTCATATTGGACATTGAACCGATTGTTGAAATCACACTAACCTCTTTTACACATATGAAACTGCATATTTTTATTGATTTTGAAAATCAAATTTAAAAAGAAGAAGATGTGCTGCTGGCTGACATGCACCATGCGGATTTTTGACTTTTCCATATAAGATTAGCCAAACTTCATATCGTTTTCCAACCAGGAATTGATGTCCTTAATAATCTGTTATTGTACTTAACCAGTCCTCTCTGGGTCCCATTATTTTCCATGTATATTATTTTGCCTTTGTGTATTAGGCGGGGATAGGAGAGAAAGGTGTGGTTGCTGGTCTATGGTCTTTTCTTCCCCTACATCTTGACTCTGTAAAAACTACGAAAATTATGTTGCTTTATAAAATTTAACAAGGCGGTTTATATTCTGCAGGGACTTGACATCATTGGTGTTCAAACAGTTATAAATTATGCATGTCCTCGTGACCTTACAAGGTAATCACTGGCCACTCCCACTGTTGCAATATATTCATTTATTCACCTGTCCTACCATTGGCATTTAGAAATAAACTGTTGCTGACTTGTATACCTTATTTTATCGTTTATGCATTTATGGTTTGTGCATGTATTTTTCCTCAATCTTATTTGTGCATCTTTGTGACTTCCATCTTGTTTCTTTCCTTGTGCAGCTATGTTCATAGAGTGGGTCGTACAGCAAGAGCAGGCAGAGAAGGATATGCCGTTACTTTCGTGACAGATAATGACCGATCTCTTTTAAAAGCCATTGTGAGCATCATCTTCTTCTGTTGTGTTCTTGGACAAGTGTATTCTTTTCTCCCATTCGTCCTCGAGTACACTAACCCTCGTATTTAATGTTCTCTTATCCAAGTACAAAAATGATGTTCACGATTTCAAGAGAATCGTTGTTTTAACTTATATGTTCCTTGGGGGAATTCAATTTAATAGGCAAAAAGAGCTGGTTCAAAGTTGAGGAGTCGAATTGTTGCAGAGCAATCAATTACTAAGTGGTGTCAGATTATTGAGGAAATGGAAGATCAAGTGGCCACAATTCTTCAAGAAGAGAGGTTTGCATTTTTTCTCTAAATAAAGGTTTTTGACTTAAAGTCTTCCCTTAAAGTAATTAGATTTGGAATATATGCAGGGAAGAACAAGCACTAAGAAAAGCTGAAATGGAAGCATCGAAGGTATTTATTAACACCAATCCTTCCTTGCTACCTAATTTGTTGTTATCATTTTTGAGAGCACAACAAGCAATCAGAAGGTTGTACAATGTTGCTACCAACACATTCCTTGGAAAATTGTTGTTGTGTAAACTTATTATTATTATGGTTTAATCTTTGTCACCTTCACTACAGGCTGAGAATATGATTGTGCACAAAGATGAAATTTATTCACGCCCCAAAAGAACCTGGTTTGTAACAGAAAAGGAAAAAAGGATGGTAGTGAATGCAGATAAGGTAATTTCTTTGTGCACCATATTGTTTTATGTTGACATGCATTTGTTTCAGTCACTTACAATTTAGGTGATTTATCTGGTTCATGGATCCCTCAGATTTCCTTGGATTATTTTAATACAGTAAAACCTTTATATAGTCATAGTTTTGGGACCAAGCCAATTTTATTACCAGAGGGAGGTTATTACTTAATGGAGGTGTAACTAAAAAAAAATTTTTTTTTTTTACTTAGTTATCTTAAATGAACGTTGTATGGGAACAAAGGTTTACATTAGTAGTGAGCGTGTCAATTTCCAAAATGTGGACATTGGAGCAAGAGAGACACCTAATGGCTGATACATGTATGTATGCAGTGCGATCTTTTATGCCAAAAGTTTGATGCCCAGAAGCTGTAAACGAGAGATTACATGCCTACAAGCTCAAAGACTTGACATCAACTCTAAAGAATAAATCGTTATCCCGGACAACTTTAGATGAATATTTTTATTTCAATTTTGATTTGTGACATTACGTATTTTTTGACTTTATCCAAAATTATTACTATGTGGAGGCTTAGTTTTTTTAAGACAGGACCTAAAAACATTATAACTCACTACAGTATGGAGTTTATTCTTATATATAACTGGCCCAGATTGGGATTGAACTTTTTTATGACTAATCCGAGGTTATTCCTATAAGAGTACCACTATACTGAGGTTTTACTTTACTACAATAATACAATGTAAAAAAAATACATTTGCGATGACCATTGGAAAAGCCCTCAATATGGGGGGCATTGGATAGCATTTGTATTATTCTCTACCTGTTGTGTCCTCTGATTACATAAATTTAGTTCCAATACCATATAATGGATGTGGTTCGAAGTATAACTGAGCTTCTCAACCAAAAAAGGCAATATTTGATGCCATTTTCCATATGGTAAGTGATCTAAAGAAGTTTAATTTGCCATATACCCACTCTTTGATTAACAGAGAAAATCTAAACCTTATTGTTTCTCCTTTGATTTTCAAACGAAGATAAAGCCAATCATTCCAATTGTTATTGGGCTAAAATATTCTTCACTATTTTTTTTTCCAAAGCTTTTCAATAAAGAAGAGACTGTTTGTATGGTTAGAGGTTTTTCAAGTCAGCAAACCTTCTCCAATGTATGGTTTTGTTCTTTTACTAGGAGTGAGAAGCACTTAAGCTGCTGTAGATCTTCACTGTAATCCTATTTTCTCTAGGATGACTTGTTTTCTTTTCTATTCTAAGCATTTTTCTTGAATGGGGGACTTAACAAAGTAAAGGCATGATATCAAAGTTCTTCTCTCTGCTGACAGGCATCCAATGAAAGTGAAAAGCACCTTGGAAAAGAGGTAATCAGTGCCCAACAAGCTGAAGATTTAAAACTGAAAGAAAAGAGGAAGCGGGAGCGTGAGGTGATTGTAATCCTGCATTTTCCTTTTCAATTTTTTTATTATAATTCATTTGGGTCAAGTGTGTGACATGACAAGTGTTTGGAGCAGAAAAATTTGCCTCGAAAGAAGCGACGGAAATTGGAAGCAGCTAGGGAAATGTTAGAGGAGGAAAATCAAAATGAAAAGTTTGATGTACGTCTCTCTCTCTCTCTCTGACTCTGCATATACATATACATACATATATATATATATAATATTTCTGTACGTATTGGATGAAGAACTTTTTGGGGTAATTAGAATTGCCTAAGTGTTCAGGTTTTTGTCATCTTAATTTTGATTCGTATGTGGGGGCAGTCTTGTATTCCTGTAGCCAGCTTAGGCCACTAAGTCATATATATAAACTGTTTAGTTAAATATTATATTATTGTGTTTTAGAGAGAATAATATACATGAACAGAAAAGATATCAGGATGAAGAAATATTTGGCTGGTTGGTGTAGAGGTTTAGTGCAAGATGATTATTGGTTTTTGTATTACCCTAGTTTCCCAAGTTTCTGTATATGTGGTCTTCTATAGTTAAGGGATTATTCTCTTTCTCATATAGTGTGGGATATGATAGCAGCCGTAAAATGATTTTGGTTGAGGTTATGTTACAACTTGAGAGGTCTTAGCTAGTTTTGCTAGATGGTGGATTTCTTATCCACTTTTTTGTAATTCATGTAATTATTTTAATAAAGTGTTATCGTTTCTTCTCAAAAAAAAAAAATAATAATAAATTTTAGTGTTCATGTAATCTTGTAGCTCAAAATTCTGAAAAGACAAAAAGAGACAAAACTTTGATGACCATATCCACACACACACATACACACAGATATATATAATGTAATAGCGCAGAGTAATCATTATGTAAGGAACTGCAGGGTAGTGGAAAAAAGGAGAAGACCGGAACGCCACTTGTTGACCTGGCTTACCGACGGGCAAAAGCCGTGAAGGCTGCAAAGAAGGCAACAGATGCTGGCAAAATTGTGAGGAAGACTAGTAAGAAATCTAGTCGTCCCCCCCAAAAAACTCAGTCAAGGACAGAGGAGATGCAGGACCTGTTCCAGAGTGACATGAGTCAAAGGAGGCAGAACAAAAAAAGTAGTGGAGTCGGAAATAAGAAGTCCAAGAATTCTTTTAAGAGCAAGTCGAGGTATGAAGCACCTTATCTTGTGATTAATCCTCCTTTCGATTTTGATTTGTATCTTACAGTCTTACTAAGCATTTTTGTGCTGTACATAGACTTTATGTTATAGATTCAGTCAAATTTTTGTGCTGTACATAGACTTTAGGTCTCGGGTTCGAGACTTGGGAGCAGCCTCTCCATAAATGGGGGTAAGGCTAGCCGACATTCACCTCTCCCAGACCCTGCATAAAGCGGGAGCCTTGTGCACTGGGTACGACCTTTTTATTCAGTCAAATTTTTGAATGGGCACATATCAGCTAACAAGAAGTCCTTGAGAAAAATACCTGTAGTTTAGTCACCTGAAAGTTTTAAAATGAACAAACTTGTAGACTCTTTTTATAAGATGCTTCAGTGCAAAGGTGGCTTTGTTGGATGTGAGAACATCAGCACAGGTGATGAGACCTAGTCTACACCCTTGTACTACCCCTTATACGCACAAATTTCCTTTTAACTGCTGACCTCGAGCTTGAGCCTTTGAGTGGATCCCTTTGGCTGAAATTCTGTTGACGATTGTGGTATAATTCCATAAGCTCTCCTGCTAGAGTTTGTTTTTGGTACAATAAGTTTAAATTGGGAGAATAGCGACTACATGATTTCTTCTCTATCTCGGTCCTTTATCATGTTATTCTTACTTGTGGTAAATAAATTGTTTAGTACTTGAAAAGCCATTTGCTGATGATTTGGTGATCTATAATCTTGTCTTGTTTCGTTAAAGGTCAGGCAGTAGGAGTCCTGTAGGTAGGGTTTTAGATAAACAGAAGAATTAAGAAAGGTCCTTTATCCATTAAATGCACAGTGAGTATCTTTTGTTCTAACCTATCGTCTGCCATTTATCGGTTTGACATTGAAGTGCATAGAAAACTGTACATTTTAGTTGTTAAAGTAGCTCAAGTATTTGTATTTCTATTCTCCTCAAGTAAAGGGAGCTTCCATCTTAGTAATAGCGCAAATGGTATCCATCTCTGCTTGTTGAGGTTTCTCCTTTGCTGCTTGTATTACCTCAATGCACGAATGATGGAAATTTCGTAATCGATCTTGTCTGTTTTGATTTCTAAACCAGGTACAAGAGGAGATAGCTTCATCAAGCTGGGAATCAAAATTCCCCATAATGTGTTGGACATGCAGTGAAAGGGTTGATTGGTTTCTTCAAGTGTTACGAGGGAACATCTGAGCGAGAGCACTACGTAACTGGTAATAGCATGGTAGGAGGAAAGGAAGAGCGGACTTTTTGCCTTTCATATGCTCAAGGGGATTTAGACTTGTCTAACTTGGCTCCCTGTATTTTAGACGTGAATTTTACTTGTTACTTAACAGTTTTCTCAAACTTAACAATTATGACGAACATTGATGATCAAGTTTTGATGAAATTCATTTGATCTTTGGGTGTAGTCTAGTCACCATTGTCAACGACATTGCTGTTAGTACTAGTTTGCACCGTAACCGTCACCAAAATAGATGACCTTTGGGCACCGTTGCCACAGTCACCAATATAATGAGAGTATCGACCCCACGTCGGAAAAAGAAGGGATCTTGCATGTGCTTATAAATAATTGAACTACTCCATGACTTTAATTGATTTTACGATAGAAGCTCAACTTTCTTCATTTCCATGATGTTTAATCTTTTGTAGAATAAGATTGCATCATTTTATTCATATTTTTGTGTTTAGAAGAATGGGGATGGGCGGCCACAATATATACACTCTAAAGATGTGCCCTATATATTTCTCGTTTGGAAGGATTTTGGTAGGAAGTAGGGGTTAAGGATCCTTGCTTGGGGATCTGAGGGATCCTGTGATCATGGTCGTTCATCGTACATCGTGCGGTCAGTTTTCGTTAGGTACTATTTATATTTAATTTTAAATTTTAAATTTCAAATGATTTCTGACCGCACGATGTATGATAAACAATCATGATCGGATTCTCGGGATCCCCAGAAAAAGAATCCGTAGTAAGGACAGTTTGATCTTTGGTGTTACACAGTCCACTCCTATTTGATTGTACAAAAGCAAAAAATGAGTAGCGTGAAAGCCCAAGGACAAAAAGGGGAACTAGACAGAAATAAAATTTGCATAATGATGGCGTCGCCCGGGTTCGAACCAACTTTGCCCCGTTAGAGAGCGATTGTTTCAAGGAAGATTTGCAGTTGCAGCTGCAGAGGGGTATTTATTTGGGTTTCAAAAAGACGGTGCAACGAAAAGCCACCACTCACTCATCGTCACAAAAGAAAAGAAATGGCGCCCTCCCCTTGCGTTTAAATTAGGCCACCGCTTCTCTCTCCTCTTCTTCTTCTTCTTCTTCTTCTTCTTCTTCTTCTTCTGTGCTGTGCTATGCTGCGCTGTTAAAGAGAGAGAGGTTTAGGTTTAAGGATCGTTTGAAGATGATTGTGAGAACTCCCCCAACGAAGAAGCTACGGGCGGCGCCGCCGGAGACCGAGACCCCACCGCCTGCCCCTGCCACAGGCCCAGGCCCTCTCGTCATCTTCGAGGACGACCCTCCTCCTTCCCTTCCACCTCCCGGTTCCTCCTCCGACCACTTGCTCTGCACCTATCAATGCCGCCAAATGGTAATATTGCTTCCCTCTCTTCTCTCTGCCTCTCTATATGTATATATTTATCATTTTCTAGATGGAAGATGGAATAATCCATTGATCATCCAAGTGGCTTCTCGATTTTGCATCTTCTCTTTCCCAATTGAAGTGGCTGTTCAATCCATACTAGCTAGATACATTTGAATCAGTTAATTATTGTTGCTGACAATATATGATATCTAATGTAATTGATTCATTCAATTTTTCATACCTGGATTTCATTCTGGCGGCTAAGTCTCGTATATGCCGCAAATCGTAATTTTGATTCAACCATTTTAGAATTTCTTTCTTCTAGTTCATCACTACATATTTTATGTAAGGTAAATGTTGGCCTGTAATTGTCGTATTCACGCTGCAGATTGTTTTCCCTCTTTGGATTTTTCCTTATCATCCAAATCTTTGACTTTGTCCCGACTTTTAATACAAGTTCTACAGACCGGATGTTGTTTTCTAATGTGGATTCAGCACAATCATCTGTGTTTCTTTTCTCTTGCTTGTAGACCTTGTTGTATATTTTTTGGCTAAGTGGAACCCTTTCCTTTCCTTTGGCGCAGGTTAAATCAGATTTTATAGATGCCTTGAGCAATGCAGAGAAGCAAGCTTCTGATTATCAATCTAAATTGGCGGCTTTAAATGAAAAATTCTGCAAAGTTGGTGGGTTCTTTTGACAAGATGTTCCACTACATTGCTTAACATCTCTTTTTTCTCCTCAGCTTCCCAATGTTTTTGTACTTATGGTTCTTTCAGTTCAATGCTGTACGTCTCTTCGTTACAAAATCCATATTTTTCTCTGTCTTCTTGCAGGCTGAATGGTAATTGGAAAGTTTTCGTTCCAAACTCACTGTTATTGTTGCACAAATATTCGAAAAAACATTTATTTACTTGATGGGATTAACTGAGGATGTAATATGGTCGTATATGACTATGTAAAGATTTTCGTATCAACAAGTGACAAAGCTAATGAATTTTAAATTTTCTTATTTTGAGCAGAGCATATGTCTTCATGCAGGACAGACCATCTTAGCTTAAATTTGCTTATGTTGTGGGTTTTGTTTAGCAAAATAAACATATGGTGTAGTGGGTTATGGTTGTAAAGAAAGAAGTTCAGAGTGTGTAGAACAACTTAATCTTCAAAAGAAGAATGAAAGACAAATAAGGATGGTAAAAAAAAAAAAAAAGAAAACTGGTTGTAGCAGCAAAAATACTATGTGATTTGAAATGGTGCGTGCAGGAGGCTAAATGAGTACTAAAATTTGTAGGAAATACTTGTGGATTTGTAGGATTTTAATTTGGTAAGGAAAAGGATTAGAACTGCAAAGAATGAGAAAGTGCAGCTTAAGCGAACTTGGGGTTTAAAAGAAGCTTCAGAGAATGAAGTTCAAGGGTTGAAGAAGACCTTGGATGTTTCATTTGGATCAAGAAAGAACACCTTAGTTGTGGAATAAGAACGAAATATAAAGAAAGGAAACTGCTTCTAGGAATACTTAAGGATTTTAGGCTATCATGGGGATAGAGTTTGTGGAAAATGCTTGGGATTTGTTTAAGATTTCAATTGAGTATGAAAAGGCTAAAGGGTTAGAACTGAAAAGTGCGAAGAAAGCACAGCTAAATCTCTTGGTATTTGTTTCATTCTTATCCTTGGATCATTGTGGGAGGTCTTTTATTTGAAATAGAAATCACTGCAACTGCAACATTCTGATTGTTGAACTGTCTGTTGGGCTATCTAGTGGTGGGCAGAGATGCACGCATGAGGATTGTTGAAATATAAAAACAACAACCGACCCACATCCTAATGGCTGAGCTTGTGGTGGTAAACCAACAGAAAATTTTCAATTCCTTTGTTTCAGCCTTATTTTTTTAGAGGAGGATGCATATACAATCTTTTAAACCTTTTCTTCTCATACTGGAGATAAAATAGACTATCGGAACTAGTAGGCAATTCTGGATGACTAACTTAAGAGTTGAGAAAAGTCCTGGACACTTCGACATTACTAGAACACCATAGAATTATGGGCTGGACTTTGTTAGTTCCATATCTCCAACAACAACAACAACAACAAAGCCTTTTCCCACTAAGTGGGGTCGGCTATATGAATCCTAGAACGCCATTGCGCTCGGTTTTGTGTCATGTCCTCCGTTAGATCCAAGTACTCTAAGTCTTTTCTTAGAGTCTCTTCCAAAGTTTTCCTAGGTCTTCCTCTACCCCTTCGGCCCTGAACCTCTGTCCCGTAGTCACATCTTCGAACCGGAGCGTCAGTCGGCCTTCTTTGCACATGTCCAAATCACCGGAGCCGATTTTCTCTCATCTTTCCTACAATTTCGGCTACTCCTACTTTACCTCGGATATCCTCATTCCCAATCTTATCCTTTCTCGTGTGCCCACACATCCCACGAAGCATCCTCATCTCCCGCTACACCCCATTTTGTGTACGTGTTGATGCTTCACCGCCCAACATTATGTGCCATACAACATCGCTGGCCTTATTGCCGTCCTATAAAATTTTCCCTTGAGCTTCAGTGGCCTACGACGGTCACACAACACACCGGATGCACTCTTACACTTCATCCATCCAGCTCGTATTCTATGGTTGAGATCTCCATCTAATTCTCCGTTCTCTTGCAAGATAGATCCTAGGTAGCGAAAACGGTCGCTTTTTGTGATCTTCGCTAGATTGCTCCGGTCATTAGTGTGGATAAGTATATAAATGGATAGAGATAGGAAAGCAAACACAAGATGTACGTGGTTCACCCAGATTGGCTACGTCCACGGAATAGAAGAGTTCTCATTAATTGTGAAGGGTTTACACAAGTACATAGGTTCAAGCTCTCCTTTAGTGAGTACAAGTGAATGATTTAGTACAAATGACATTAGGAAATATTATGGGAGAATGATCTCGTAATCACGAAACTTCTAAGTATCGGAGTGTGGTGTCGTCTTGACTTGCCTTATCTGTCTCATAGGTAGATGTGACATCTTCTCTGGAAGTACTCTTCCTCCATCCAGGGGTGGTATCTTTAACTGGTGGAGATGCACAAGGTAATGTATCAATTTCACTTGAAGCTTACTTGTACTTTCAGGCTTGGTCAAGCGCGATACAAACCATGTAGTAGGAGTCCCCCAAGTCGCCGAGCTAGGGGGTCTGCTGAAAGAGGTGACAGACAAGGTAAGCAATCAGAGCTCCGACTGATTGTTCACCTTCTCCCCATCTTGCAGCAGCATGAAGGATAAAGAGAAGAAAAATGAGAAGAGATGATATGAGATACTTTTGCTTTTGAAGAAGTAACTTTCCACAGGCTTATTCTTGAACTGAGCTGAAGGGTTTTCTGGTTTCCTCCAGAGTATAAGGCCGACTGAAGAATTTGAGGGTCAAAACAAGTCCATCAAATCTAGAGTACGTTCCACCCTGCTGATATGGGATACTTTTGCTTTTTGACAGAGTAATGGATGTATCGGCACGTGTGCTGTTACGCTTGTCTCCACATGCTTCCTTGTATCCTTCGCACTTGCCCTATCTGTTCCTCAAGCAGATGCGGAATCTTCCCTGGAAACATAAGATGTTGAAGATGAGTACTCGAGAGCAATGCCAGGTAAGTAATCAGGTAAGGGGTTCCAGGCAGTCAGTTCCTGGCTGGAAGCTTGATTCCAAGTGCTGACTGATTGCTCTCTTTCTCCTTGTCTTGCAGGTAAAAACAAGGCCAAAGGAAAAGACAGGGAAAAAGCATGATATGGGATACTCTTGCTTTTAACCCTGATGATATGAGATATTCTTGCTCTAGTATAGCTTGTTTGCAGAGGTATTATCGGGGGGAAAGAAAGCTGAATATTTCGAAAGGCTTCGTTGGGAGTGCCCTCTCAGATATGATGAAGGGTTGAGCATTTTTGCAGGTCTGCCTGTCCGTTGGGGATGGAGGTCGACATATATAGGAGTCTCCCTAACAACAAATAGTAATGCTATTCCTTTACCCTGCTTGGTCATAGCACGGTAGTGGGAGCTGCCAGTTTCACATGTTTTAACTCTGTCAGAGCACTTTGAAAAAAAGTGGTCTGTGGTATCTGGCTCTCGAGATTCGGAGAACGATGCCTCTTCGATTTTTGAGAAAGCAATCATGCTGGGGGTCTGGCTCTCGAGATTCGGAGAGCAGTGTCTTTTCGATTTTTGAGGAAGTAATCAGGTTGGGAGTCTGGCTCTCGAGATTCGGAGGGCGGTGCCTCTTCGATTTTGGAGCAAGCAATCTTGTTGAGAGTGTTGTCTCGAATGTGAGTAAAGGTTGGGCATGTTTGCTAGTCTACCTTGCCACGAAGCACAAAGGTTGACACACAGGGACTTTCCAATTATCCAGCAATGGTACTGTTCCTTTACCCTCTCTTCGATTTTGAGAAAGTAGTCATGTTGGGAGTCTGGCTCTCGAGATTCGGAGGACGGTGCCTCTTCGATTTTGGAGCAAGCAATCTTGTTGGAAGTGTTTTCTCGAATGTGAGTAAAGGTTGGGCATGTTTGCTAGTCTATCTTGCCACGAAGCACAGAGGTTGACACACAGGGACTTTCCAATTATCCAGCAGTGGTACTGTTCCTTTACCCTTGTGGGTAATAATATGGTAGCTAGACCTTCAAAATTTATGTGTCTAAACTTTGTTAGTGCTGTTTCTTTGCTATTCTTTTACCTTTCTTGGTCAGAGCGATGTAGTGGGAGCTGCAAGCTTCACGTGCTCAACTTTGGCAGAGAACTTTGGCAAAGTTATCTGTGGTACCCATGAGCTATTGTTGCGTGTGGGAAGTGGGTGATTGAACAGTAAGATTCATGTGCTTTCTACTTCACCAGAAGTCTTCGACAGAATGCCCATAATTTCTGCAAAGCTGAGTGTGCGTGTGACAGGTGCTGACAAGGCTAGAAAAGTAGGTGCCTCTTCGATTTCTGAGATCGGCCCTCGTGGTCTCTGAGCAGCCCAGCTTTTGAGAAAGCGAGCGCCTCTTCGATTGATTCGGAGAACGATGCCTCATCGATTTTTGAGAAAGCAATCATGCTGGGGGTCTGGCTCTCGAAGATTCGGGGAGTAGTCTCTTCGATTTTTGAGAAAGTAATCATGTTGGGAGTCTGGCTCTCGAGATTCGGAGGGCGGTGCCTCTTCGATTTTGGAGCAAGCAATCTTGTTGGGAGTGTTTTCTCGAATGTGAGTAAAGGTTGGGCATGTTTGCTAGTCTACCTTGCCATGAAGCACAGAGGTTGACACACAGGGACTTTCCAATTATCCAGCAATGGTACTGTTCCTTTACCCTCTCTTCGATTTTTAAGAAAATAGTCATGTTGGGAGTCTGGCTCTCGAGATTCGGAGGACGGTGCCTCTTCGATTTTGGAGCAAGCAATCTTATTGGGAGTGTTTTCTCGAATGTGAGTAAAGGTTGGGCATGTTTGCTAGTCTACCTTGCCACGAAGCACAGAGGTTGACACACAGGGACTTTCCAATTATCCAGCAGTGGTACTGTTCCTTTACCCTTGTGGGTAATAATATGGTAGCTAGACCTTCAAAATTTATGGGTCTAAACTTTGTTAGTGCTGTTTCTTTGCTATTCTTTTACCCTTCTTGGTCAGAGCGATGTAGTGGGAGCTGCAAGCTTCACGTGCTCAACTTTGGCAGAGAACTTTGGCAAAGTTATCTGTGGTACCCATGAGCTATTGTTGCGTGTGGGAAGTGGGTGATTGAACAGTAAGATTCATGTGTTTTCTACTTCCCCAGAAGTCTTCGACAGAATGCCCATAATTTCCGCAAAGCTGAGTGTGCGTGTGACAGGTGCTGACAAGGCTGGAAAAGTAGGTGCCTCTTCGATTTCTGAGATCGGCCCTCGTGGTCTCTGGGTAGCCCAGCTTTTGAGAAAGCGAGCGCCTCTTCGATTTCTGAGATCGGCCTTCGTGGTCTTTGAGCAGCCCAACTTTTGAGAAAGCAAACGCCTCTTCGATTTCTGAGATCAACCCTCGTGATCTCTAAGCAGCCCAGCTTTTGAGAAAGCAAACGCCTCTTCGATTTCTGAGCAGGCGCCTCTTCGATTTCTGAAGCTCCGTCGAGTGCAGATTTTTATAGGGGCTGACATTAAGTTCCAAAGCACACTTGAATCTCCACTAGTAGAAGCTTCATTCTTGCACTTCTAAGATCTTGATTTGTCCGACCTCTTCTCTCTTCAACACCTTTGAAAATGTCTGGCCCCTCCGACCGTCGTTTTGACTTGAACCTTGTTGAAGAGGCAGCCCCGCCTTCTCCAGACAACATATGGCGCCCATCCTTCGTCTCCCCTACTGGTCCTCTTACCGTTGGGGATTCCGTGATGAAGAATGATATGACCGCTGCGGTGGTGGCCAGGAACCTTCTCACTCCCAAAGATAACAGACTACTTTCCAAACGGTCTGATGAGTTAGCTGTTAAGGATTCGCTGGCTCTCAGTGTTCAGTGTGTAGGTTCTGTGTCTAATATGGCCCAACGCCTATTTGCTCGAACCCGCCAAGTTGAATCATTGGCGGTTGAAGTGATGAGTCTCAAACAGGAGATTAGAGGGCTCAAGCATGAGAATAAACAGTTGCACCGGCTCGCACATGACTATGCTACAAACATGAAGAGGAAGCTTGACCAGATGAAGGAAACTGATGGTCAGGTTTTACTTGATCATCAGAGATTTGTGGGTTTGTTCCAAAGGCATTTATTGCCTTCGTCTTCTGGGGCTGTACCGCGTAATGAAGCTCCAAATGATCAACCTCTGATGCCTCCTCCTTCTAGGGTTCTGTCCAGTACTGAGGCTCCAAATGATCCCCCTCCGGTGCCTTCTCTTCTGGGGCTCTACCGACTGCTGAGACTTCTCCTAAGCAACCTTTGTGAAGGCTCCCTCTTGTGTGTTTATTTTGACTCATGTATATGTACATATTTGTAGCTTATCGGGGATATCAATAAATAAGCTTTCCTTCATTTCAACGTACTGTGTTAAAAACACCAAAGCCTTCTTCGCTAAGTTCTTTGAATTTTCTTTTGTTGAAGCTTGTATGTTGAAGCTTTCTGAGTGGAGCATGTAGGTTGGGGTAGTGTTCCCTTAATTTTCCGAGTGAGGAAAACTTCTCGGTTGGAGACTTGGAAAATCCAAGTCACTGAGTGGGATCGGCTATATGAATCTTAGACTGAAATTCAATTTCTGATTTATTCGTAGGCTCCAAGTAACTTGAACCTAATACCATATGAGATTTGTCTTCGTTTTGTGTTGTGGGCCATTTATGTTAAAAATCACAAATTGCAAAATCTGAAAATAATAAACCATGCAACAGCAAGATAGTTTCTTTCTTGTTTGGAACTACTTTACCATGTTTGCATGTGAATTTATTTCATAAAACCGGTAAGATAAGTTCTTTTCATTTAAATCAAAATTCTTTTGGTTTCTGGAAAGCTACCCATGTAGAAACTCTTTAGATTAGACATTTTATGTTTGTTGTCTTGTCCCTAATTAGTTACATGTGCTGCAGAATCTGAGAAGAATAAATATCTGGATCAATTTTTGTATGCTGAACAAGAACTTGCCGCTGCAAAGGCACGTGAACAGGATCTGCAGGAGCAGCTTTTGAAGGAGGTGCACGATTCTGATGAAAGATTGACTAAACAATTACAATCAAACAGCAAACTTGAGGTATATGCTTGAACCTTTATGAATGATGGGTACTTCCTCCACCATTTGGTATTCCCAAAAGAATGATTCATTTGTTCTTTCTGTTTTCCTCCTAGTTTTATTTTGTTCCCCTTTTGGAATTCCAAACAGTTTTTCTGTCCCACTCATCATATCACATTTCAAATTTCAGGTGAAGCTTCAAAACGAAATGAACCTTCGCATGAGAGCTGAGACTTCAACAGGTTTGGCTGAGGAGAAAGCAAGTGTTATAGAGGGGAAACTGAGACATCTTTCTGACAGCATAGAGAAGGAAAAAAAGAGTCTCAATAACAATCTTGCCCAGCTGAAAGGAGAATCCAAGCTCACTGTTTCTAGAATAACTGCAGATGTGAGTGGTGATTTTTGATTAATTTAGTTTTATAGTCTGTATGAATTTATGACCATCAGTAGTCATTCAACCTTCTCCATTCTTGTTTAGCGTGAACGAATGGAATGCAGAGCTCATAATGCTGAGAAAGAAACAGAGCTATTGAAAAAGCAGCTGGATGATATTAAGAAGCAACTTAGTGAGGTAGACCTCTTATTTCTATTTCTCTTAGATACCAGTTGATATGTTCTATGGAAAATCTTTCTCATATATGCATCATCACCTGTCCGTTTACAATACCAAATGCAGTGTTACCTTTTCTTTTATAATTTATTTGTATGTTGGGTCTGCTTGGCCTTGATATCAAATGTATTTTTGTATAATATTACGATTTGTCTTATACTGCCACAAGTTGATCAGATTTTCTTTTGATTCACTTTATTTTTCAGTGCGTGCAACAGAAGAGCGAAGTAGAGAAGAAATTATCAAATCTTACATTTCAAGAAGTTGAATCCACGGAGAATAATATTTTAGTTAAACATCTGCAAGAAGAGCTTAGAAACTTTGTAAGTTTTGTTGTCGATCTTTTCTTTCTAATGAATAAAATTGTTTCTTCCTATTGAGTCTTCAGGTTCTCTATGAAGTTGATAGATGATCATTCTTAATTAGTTCTTTTATTTTATTTTTTTACAAAAAAATCTTCAGCCCTCGAAAGATTAAGTTTTGGTTTGGTGGTTCATAAAATTCTGAACATTAATGATTAAGTAGCCAATCTGTCTGTATATGTTTGATGGTGCATACTAAGTCAATGCATTGTTAGTTTGGTAATGTGATTTGGGTCATTTGGCCAAGGGGTAAGGAGTATATTGTTATGCGTAGTTGTGGTAGTTTGAGTTTTGCCTCATCAACCTTTTATATTTCAGCATAGATTTTGTATTATTATAGAAGATGACGAAGGGTAAAAGTTATCATTTGGTATAAAAGAAATTGTAGAATTCTGAACAAAAAGAATTTTTTTTTTAAAATACTTTGGGGAAGAATATTTTCTTTTGTGTTATTAGGAGCTTCGGTTTCAAGTTTGAACAGATTTTGAGAAGCTCCTGTTTGAAAGAGAGTTGTGTATGACTGATTTCATCTTTTCTAGACTAATATCTTTCTCTTGACTAGATATGTCCCTCCTTTGACTACTCTGCATTTCTTGTGTATTTCAATAACATTTTATCTCTAAATTCCTAGGATGCTGAAGTAAGGGAAGCAAGAAAGCTGAAGTCAGCTCATGAAAATGTTGAGTTATTGAAGGAAAAATTGTTGGAAGAAAAGAGCCGTAGAGAGAGGGTAGAAGCAGAGTTATCCAAACTACAAGAATTACAGCTTAGTATGAAGAAGTTGGAGGATGAATTGAAATCTTGGAAGTTGATCATTAAAGACATTCCAGGCGTGTCATGTTCTGAGGATTTACCAGTTAAATTCGCATCATTACAAAAGTATGTGAATAGCTCATTTCAGTCCTTTGAACCAGCATTGTTAGATCATTTAGACGAATGAATAAATTCATAATCAGAGGCCTAAACCATGAGGCTTTCCTTGATGCATCTTATTCTTCTTCCATTATTTTTTGTGATCTGTTTATTTTTGTTAAGGCAGCCAGGAGTGCACTGCATAGTGTGACTTTTTTATTAGTTGATTAAAACTGAACATCTGGTACAACATCAATGTTATTAGAATTACATTTGTTTGTGGATAACTTCCCAGCATTCCAGTGGAGCTGAATATTAAACATTTAAAACTAAATGTTAAAAACTCTGTATTTTGTATGCATGGGTATGTCTCTTTTGTTTAGACCCTAGAATAACTGTACCTGCTATAGACATTTCTTAGGAAGTAGATGATTTCTGGTACTATGTGATGTATGCATAATATGATACTATTGATAATTGTTTGAGTAGGAAGACTTCATAATAGATGGTCTACAGTGAGCTGGTACCATGTGCTTAATTTCAGTGATTGGAAATATCATCTCTAGACTTATTTCAGTGGTCTGGTTTTCACCTTATGACACCATGCGTGTTTGTTTTGAAACAATCGCAGAAGGATCAAATGGCCCTGTCAACTTTCTATATTATTTGTTGTGGGGGGTTTTTTAGGACTGAGAATTATTCTATTCCTTTTCTTCTAATCATGCTTGATCTGTTAACGAGGGTTTCAAGTCTGTAGTTGGTAGAGTTTATATGTAGTTATCAACAAATTCTGCTGTAATCATCCCCACCATGCAAAATATATATTTTTTTATTTGTTATTTTATCTGAGATTTGTTCATGCTTTTCTCTGCCTGAGCATTGAGATGTTTTCGGTTTCCAGTGATTAACATTTTTTCATTTAATGCAGAGAGGTAATTGATAGCATGATGAAAGTGAGTGAGGCAAATGCCCACTTGAAACAATTGGAGGTAGCTCTAGATGCAGCAAAAATTGATAAACAAAATGCTGAAATAGAGGCTACACTGGCCAAGGAGAAAGGGGATGTATCAAAATCAGAGGTTAAGCGGATTGAATTGATGGTAAGCATGTAACCATGTAGTTTTATGCCATCTTTTTCTTAATTCATTTAGTTTTGCACTCTGGCTGTTGCTGAGCTTATTATTTATCCTTCTACTGCTGTACAATCTCTCTAATTTTCTGCTTCGGAAGCTTTCATTGAATATTCAATTTTGGGGGTGGTTTGGGCCTGTGTGGGTGGGTTGGTGGGTGTGCCTAGGGAGGGTCAGGTTTCAATGTAGGGTTATAATTGTAGTGGTTTATCGAGGATGAAGAAAAAATTGGTGTAAATTGAACCAATTAATCATAATTTCAATCAACATGCCTGAAGATTGAGCCCTAGAATTGTAGGGTCTCCTTATATAGGCAATCTGATAAGTCATAATGTGACATGAAACTGTAATAACTAGCCCTTAAATGTGTGAGGATGTGAAGTTAAAGAGTCCCACATTGGTGAAAGGAGAAACCTTGCAAGGGCTTATATGAGGTTGGGCTACTCCCCATATTGCCAATTGGTTTTATGGTGGAACCTCAACCTTCTTCATGTTATCAGAGTAGGTTGGCCCATGTGTAAAGCCCAACGGCGACACGTGCTCCACGTCACCCAATTCATGTTGTCCACACATGTTTGGCTTGAAAATTCACACATGTGTGCGGGTGTGTGAGGAAGGTAAAAGAGTCCCACGTTGGTGAAAGGAGAAACTTTGCAAGGGCTTATAAGAGGTTGGGCTGCTCCCCATATTACCAATTGGTTTTATGGTGGAACCTCAACTTTCTTCAAAATGATTTGTAATTAACACCTATATTTTTTAAACTAAATATAATAAGCATAATTTATATGCTTATGCCCAAATTTTCTTGCATCCTGCATCATTCTGGCTCTGCACTTGTTGCTTTTGTATTCTCTAAATTAAGGTTAATGTGTGGGTGATGTAGCTCTTTACTGTCTAACATTCTTATTCTCATTGATGCATGAATAATTTTTAGTCTATTGGTCATTACCTTAGTATCCTATCACACTAAGTGGTTTTGGAAAATAAGTTAAAGTTTGGCTCTCTCAAAGAAAAACAAAAGTGTGGTAATCTATTCAATACGGTAACTATTGTTTTTTTTTTTTTTTTGGGAGGGGTGGCCGGAGGGGGGGGGGGTATGGAGTATAACTGTCCTATGAAGTGAATGCAACCGCAACGTAAGTTGATGAATATAACAACTTGAAAAGTCAGTAAAGAATATAGATCAATGTTTTTCAAAATTGAAGGCGTTATTCATGTTGAGAATGAATACCACATTGATGGGAGGAGGAACCTTGCATGGGCTTATAAGTAAGTTGGGCTACTCCCCATGTTGCCAATTGGTTTTATGGTGGAACCCCAATTTCTTCAATTCAAGGTGTTTTACTTCTTACAAGATCATACAAATATGTTCTGGGACGCATACTTATATGGTAAAGAATTTTTAGAAGTATAGAAAAAGTAGTTGAAAAAAAAAAGCATTATCATTCAAGCATAACAATCATTATCGAAAGCTCTAACATTCCATTTTTCGTACAAGTCAGTCCCCAAAGAAAGTGATAAAAACAATACTAATTATCTTTTAAGAATGTATGCTGAAGGAAGTATTAAAATGCAGCTCTCTATGGTTACTGAGGAAAGAGATAAGTTGAGAAATGTCCTGAATGGACTGAAGTCGGCAAAGAATGATGAAGCAGCCAGTCATACTTTTCTTCAGGTTACATAATTTCTTTCTCTTTACTATTTGTAATTCAAGAAATCTCTGTTTAAGTTCAATGTTTGGTTTCCTCGTTTGCACATGCAGGAGGTTGAATCATCACTTGCAAAGAAAGAGGGCTATATTAAAGAATTGGAATGCGGTGTATGTGAACAAAAAGAAGTTAATAGTCGTCAACGTGAAGAAATAAAGTTGCTTAATGAGAGGTTGAACAATGAAGCTAGAAGAATAAAGTCATTGGAGAGGGAGAGCGATCGACTTCATTCAGAGATCGCTTTACTGGAGTCCAAGGTGGGTGCCAAATTTATTCAGAGCATTATTGATATTAACATTATTATCTTAATTTTTCTTGGCACTTAAAGAGGCACTACCTGGGTTTGAATGGTGGCTGAGCCTTGAACTTTTGTGGACTTCGCCACCAAGCTCTTCCCTTAGGAAAATATCATTATTACTACAGTTCGTCCATATCATTATTCCAAAAAAACAAAAAAACTATTGTCAGATATGTAATGGCTCTCTTGTGCTAACTGGCTGACCCCAAAAGAAAAGGAACTGCAGTTGCAGCCAAGCAATCTAAAAGCTGACAGGCAAACAGAAAAAATTGCAATTCAATTGCGTAATTTCTGATATTTTTTCTTCTACAGATTGGTCATGGCAATTTCTCTGCTGCTAATACTAAAGTTTTAAGAATGGTGAATACTCTTACGGTTGATAATGAAGCCAAACAAACTATTGAAGCATTACAAACTGAGTTACAGAAGACAAAGGAGAAGTTACAAGCTGTTGAAGAATTGAAAAGTCAATCAGGTAAGAAGCACATGGTTCTTTGAAAGAGAAATTTACGTGAAAACTTCCTTTTAAGGTTCCAGCCTTAGAAATGAATGATTAAGAGCATTATATTGGTGTCTCGTTTTTGCACTGACTGTGCATGGATGAGGGTTCGAGGTGTGTTGGGGGTTAAAAGGAGTTTTAAATTGTCATACTGATACTACTAAAGTGCAAAAGAATTGATTTAGATTTTAGGAGTGACTTTAACATGGCTTTCAAGCTGCTGCCACAGCTACCAAATTAACCCCACCACCAGCACCACCTTGATTGCACCCCTGTCCTCATCTACCTCAATATCATTGCTATTACTGTCACCATATTTGGCACCTTTGTTGGCGCACATGTAGACAGTGCCGTATTTGCTCCTTAAAAGTGTTTTCTAATTTACCTCATGAAGGTATAATTTACGTAGAAATTAGAAGATAATATATTGTTGTTATCTTTTGACTATTTAAGTCAGATGTTAATTAGTCTGGTCATGCAATTGTGTAATAAGTTTATTTGCATTCCTTCCTCTCTTAAACTATTCAGGTGATGCTGGAAAATTGGTGGATTCGTACATATCTGGGAAGATAGTGCAGTTGAAAGAACAAATTGCAACTCTTGAAAAACGTGAAGAAAGGTGAGTGACTGTGACTGATGATATTGTCAATATGAGCGAATTTTGAAATGCGTTTTTTTAGCCTAAGGTTTCAAGAAAACTTAGGATATTCCATTCTTGGGGTTCCACACTTTTGCGAATTTCTTATGTTTCAGATGTAAGAAGATTGCATTAGATTTAAATTATTGGGTGGGCTTACTGTGAGAGGGAGTAGTTCTTCAATGTATATGTTTTGGTATCCTTGTCATTGTATATTCACAGTTTACCTAAACTATAATACAACTTTTAGGTTAAACATTTGAACATACCCATGGAACAGGTACAAGACTGTTTTTGCTGACAGAATTTCAGTGTTCAGGAGGGAGTGTTGTGAGCTATTTGGTTACAAGGTATATATCATATTTGTTGCTCATTTTACTTTATATTTTCATATGACTACTATTCCAGTTTACATGGGTCATTTTACTTTATATTTTCATATGACTACTATTCCAGTTTACATGGCATTCCAATTAACATTAAGAACTTTATATAGCGTTGAAACTTCATCTTTGGTTCTGTTACTGGTTTAAAGTTCATTCTTATGTCTATGCTTTACTAACACTGGCAATCTACCATATGAATTTTAAGTTATCAAACATGTCAATTTAAATTACTAAGTTGTTTCTATATATCTTTTGCTATATTATTATTTATTTTCAGCCGATAAATAGTTGAGATCATGATATTTATTACAATTTTTATGGCCTTTTTTGTCTCTTTCTAAACTGTCATTCCTAGGCCGGTGAGAGACCTACATGGGCCATTGTATAACTGTAATGATTATCTTTTTATTACAATTTTGCAGATTGTAATGGATGAACACCAGCGTCCCAATGGAATCCCTGTTACACATTTTACCCTTCAATCTATATATGCGCAAAGTGATGATGAGAAGCTTGAATTTGAATATGAATCAGGGAGCACAAACATTTTGGTGAGATCGTAGTATATGAATTCATTTTCTTAGGCCATCTTAAAGCTATTTTAGTCATTTACACCTCAATTTTTTTTCTCTGTTATTGTACTTGAGATCGTGATAAAACAAATGCAAGAAGCAATATAATCATATTATCTTTGGATTGAACAGGCAAATGATTACACCTCACAGTCTGAGATATCTCATCAGGTATGGAGCATGATGTTTTCCTAATTCTTATAACTTTTTTACATGCTTCTTTACTGGTAGGACTATTGTTTTTTCATCTGTGGGTGGTCCAACCTGTACCAGATTATTTGAGAGTTCCATTGGGGAAACTTTGTTGTGTTTACGTTCATGATTCATATTTCATATTTCATATGATCTGACAAACGGCAATGAGAGCTTGTCATAGTTTTTAGCAATAGTTGTACTTATTGTGTTTGGCATCCAGGTTCAGATTGTTGAAAAACCGCACACTAGACCTTGTTCTTTAACGTAACCTATGGCAATAGACTAAACTAGCAAATATAGAAAACTTAGAAACACACAAGACTTATACTGGTTCGACAGAACTTTTGCCTACATCTAGTTGTGATTTCTCACCGCTCCTTTGATTAATAATAGAGAATTACAGAACTTTTGCAACCCTAGAACTAATCTCTATCTCACTTGTCTCAGCTGTCACAGTTCTTCTCTCTAAAATTTAAGCCTTGCTGCACCCTATTTACAGGCATAGGGTGCAGTTTACTTGTCCTTTACATATTATAATTCCTATTCTAAGTGGAATAGGAAATTAGACTTCCTTTCCAATTCCAAATAGACTTCTAGGATTTCTAATCTAAATTGAATAAGGAAACTAAGGGCTTGTTTGGTATCTATTTGAAATTTTTTATAATTTTTCAGAACATTTCTTAAAGAATTTTTCTTGAAAACAATTTTCTTTAAGACTCAAAAACTTGTTTGGTATGCGATTTAAAATTTTGAAATCTTACAACTTAAACTGGACAAAGAGATCCATAAAAAGGGGGTTGAGAGAGAAAGAGGAGAGAGGAGGAAAGCAAGTAAGAGATGATTGGAGGAAAGAGAAAGAAGTGAAAAGATCGGAGGAGATAGAGGAAGAGGAGTGAGAGAAAGAACCAAGAGAATGAAGATAGCAGATTGGAGGAGAGACGAAAAAGGTCAAAAAAAAAAAAAGAGAAGGGGGAGAGAGAAAGAAGAAAAGAGAGATAGATTTGGAGTGAGGGGAGGAGGGAGAGAAAAGAAAGGAGTGAGTTTAAGTTTAAAAACTCTAAAAACTCACTTTTTGTGTTTTTAGATAATAGACTATATTTTTGAATTAGTTTTGAGTTCAATTTTTGAAAATAGTCCTACCAAACAAGTTTTTAAGGCCCAAAACTTGAAAATTATTTTTGAGTTTAAAAAGTTGGATTCAAGTAAAGTACCAAACAGGCTCTAAGATTCTTTCCTAGCCCTTTTAGGAGAAGAATCGGTGCACCCTTTTTTTCCCTAAAACAATCCAACACAGAAAAGGACACTAATTGACGAGCCAAAACCTAACACATATTGCCCCTTTTCTTTTATTTTTGCTCTTGCTTTCGTTCATTCCCTTTGCTTCGGAGGGAGCAAACTAAACTTTTGTTTTTGGTTTCGTGGAGAGTTAACTTTGAGGGTTAGAAAATAAACCTGTTTAATTTCAACAAAAAAAAAAAAAAAAAAAAAAAAAACACTTTTCCAGTGAACCTGCAATTGCTTTTCTTTTGTAGAAATAATTTTCACAGAAACGATTTGGTCGAAAGAAATTACCATGAGTTGTTCATTGAGACAATAAGGTACTCAAACAAGTCGGATGTTTCTTCAGGGACTTAAGTTTAAATCTTGCAACGTGGTTTCTGGTTGTGAACTGTTGGTTACCTCTTACCTGGACCTTTAGTTGGTGAACTATTCTGAGATAGCATTTTGCAGGTTGAGATATTTATTCGGAAGTTGAATTCAATCCCAGCTTTCACTGCCAACTTAACAGTGGAGTCTTTCAACCGGCGAACCCTGACTTAAAAACGAGTCAAATTTGATTTCTACTACAGATGAATCACCAAGATTGTATATTTCACTTATCAAGTTTGTGTAGCAGGTATGCTATCTATCCAGGTTTTCCTTTTCCCCGGATATTGTGAACAGTCCTTTTCTAAGAGAAGTTACTAATGGAAAAACTTTGAAATATAACCCTCGTAGAATCCGTTTAATGGGTAAATTTGATCCTCTATTCATTCGATCTTTACTAAAATTGTGAGTTTCTAAGAGAAGAAAGTGTGACGTGCTTTACTTTGTACATTATTGCACTATAGCTGAGGAATATTTCACACTATTTGAAACTGAGCGTACTGGTGTTCTAAGATTTATACAACCGACTCCACTTGGTTGGACAATGCTTGGTTGTATGAAATTGAGAAAAGTGAAGCTAAATAGTTGTGAATGTGGATTTGAATTACTTGGCAGAGAGAATGATGTAGAATCCGAGGTGCATTTTGTTTTCGAGTGATGCATCCAAATTCTTGTGATCCATAGGAAGTGGGCACTCATTCAAGATGGCTGTCAAACAAAATGGCGCAAAATCGGGTGTCAAAGCTCTTTGTTTCACTACTACAAGTCCTTTTGGTGGATGCATCATTTTATTCATGAAAACTCGTGGACTGCGGGATTGATGGTGACAGTGGTGGTAATGGTGGTGGGCGTGGGTTCATGGCTTTTCCTTAAAATCCGTTTCGGTACTTACTGAGATTTTTGACGTCAAGGGTTGACAGACGCCAAACTAAAATCCCATTATCAGGATTTCTCCAGCCTTGAATGTTCGGGTGGTTTCGGTACGGTTTTCGTACCAAAACCTCTGTACTAATTACCATACCAAACTTTTGGTCTGATAAAATCTATTACCAATACCATACCAAATTTTTGGTATACTGAATTTTGATATGTATTATTCAGTTGGCATGATATGGTAATAATAATTGCCACTTTATTTTGGGCCACTTTTGTTATTTTTTTTCAATCCAATTCAAGGCCCAAATGTTTGTTTTATTATTTTCATGTCTTTATCTCATAATTGTAACCTAAATCTAAGAATCATAATCTATCATTAATCATTTACAATTCCCAGACATAATAAGATAAATGATAAGCGGGATTCATGATGGAAATTGAGGCTGCAATCCAAATAACAGCTACGAACTAAATCTAATAGAAGTTAAGTTTACAACTAAATGAAAATTAATTGGAAAACCAAATAGAATCTCTGCAGTAAAAAAACACAAGCAGCGAGCACACCAACACCAACCCCTGTAGAGAGTAAGTGAGAGTGTCGAAGAGAGAAAATGTCCAAGGAATGAGATGCAATTGAAGGATGTTTTTCTTAATATATTGAAATGTTATATAATTATTAAAAATATAAAATCATATAATATTTTATTGGTGAGGTACGGTAATACTATTGGTAATGGTATTGAATACCAATACGGTATCAGAAAATGTCGGTTCAGTACGATACCGTGTCATTACCAATTGGCACAAAATTAGTATGGTACGGTTGGCATGGTAATTTGGCAAAAAATTTCACCCTTACTTAAATGGCATGAAGTTCCTTTGATACGTGTAAAGAGAATAACCAAACTGGCCACTAAAAGAAGTGAAAAAATATTATTTTACCATTTATTGGTTTGCCCTCTGAACTTGTATAGAGTTGTCAATTCCGACCCCTCAAACTTTAATTTAGCCGATAACCCTGAACTTTTATAATGGGCCAACTTCCCCCTAACTTTAACCTTAGCTGATTACCCCTAAAATTTATAAATAGCCAATTTTCCCCCATGGAGTTAGATTTTTCATCCATCCAATTTTCCTTTCTTTTTGCCCCTATAAAGTTGTCATGGGTTGTCTGCGTGATCAAAATGGATGGAAAATTGGATGAAATTTTTTAAAATCTAGGGTTAGGGGAAAGAATTGGCTATTTATAAAAGTTCAAGGAGTAATCGGTTAAAATTAAAGTTCAAGAGGGAAATTAGCTAATTAAAAAAGTTCAAAGGGTAATCAGCTAAATTAAAGTTTAGGGGAGAAATTGACAGCTCTATACGAGTTTGGGGGGTAAATAGACAAATATACCTTTATTAGTAGTATCTCTCTAATAGGGATGAGACTCACATGTGTTGGTGGGCTATGCCTTTATTAGAGAGATGGTACAAATAGATGGTAAGCGTAGCATGTCTTTAGTAGTTATGATGTGACCAATGATCTCGTTGGCGATGAATAACACGTAGAATGATACATCACGTATTTATGTTATCGATATTTGAGGAGAAAAAAGGGGTAAAGAATGTGGGCACTAACCCATATATACCAATTACCAACTAATGCGAAAGCAGCACTAGCATAAAAAAAAAAATGTAAAAGGTGATATGGGAAACAAGATATTGTTGGTTAATTTATCGAATGAGTAATGTTAGAATTTCTTTGATGTATGGCTTCAAATGGGTATCAATTAAGGAATTTAAAAATGTTGATTGGTGATTTGCATGACCTAGCTAAGCTCGCAATCATTTCATCAGAACACAAGAGAAGAAAAGGAATGGAGGAATTGAAGCCTCTCTCCTCTCCTCTCCTCTCCAATAACGAATAACCTAGAAGGATATTGTATAAGTCTAGTGTACAAGAAACAAGGAACCCTAGCTAGCTGTAGCTAGCTTGCTTTAGAATTGTGGGAAAGAGATCCTTTCCGGATCTTTCCCTCTAAAACACAGGGATTAAGTGATATAAGCCTTTAAAATTTGATCCAATGGTTAAAAACAGAAAAAGTTAGTAAAATTTTGTAAAAACTATAATAATTTTTTATCATTGGATCAAATTTTAAAAGTCTGGATCACTTGATTCTTGAACTTTAAAGGAAAAGATTCGAAGAGGATCTCTTTCCAGAATTGTGCATGTCCACCTACCAACTTTCTCTCTCAATCGATCCAATTAAGGCACTTTATGACCTTAACAAATAAACATTCTTTCGAAATTGGTCGACCATGGAATGGTGCTTTGAATTATTTGGTCCAAACGCTCCTTTTTCATTCGTACACGTGTCAAGGTTATGTCCAAGTTCAGGCAACTGTTGACTTATTCATGCGTTGACTTATTGGTGTCTGCACAGAAGAAATCACCACCCAACTTCAACAGTTGAAAATCACACCAAGTTCACCTTTCGTGGCCTACCGCCTACGCGGTTGCAACTCACTCTTTCTTTAAACCAACACACACATTAATAAACCCTCCATTAGGGCCATTAATTAAATTCCTTAAACATGTCATTGCAATAGTGTTATTTGGTAATGCGCTCCCCAATTAGTAGACATGCTTATAGATAATTGATATCTAACGTTTGTCGGTGTAAGACAAAAGACAGCACAACAAATTTTAATCTCCAAAGTACATGATCTCGGGTGTATAAGGGGAGCACATACGCTCGCTTTAGAAGCTAATGTGCCTACTCTACCTATACGAATATATATAGCATATATCTATATGGCCAAATTGTAAAAACTTGCGATGTTACTTATTTTTGGCGGTTTATTCATTATGGTGAAAGCAATAGTCGATTAACATGTATGTTTCTGGTTTTTTATTTTTTATTTATGATATTGGATTCTTTGAATTGAAGAAAAAGCTCATTTTTAAATATATTGGATTCACTGCCAGGCACTGGACTTTGAAAGCGCAAGAGCAAGAAACATATATTTTGATTCCAAATCAAAGGTTTTGTGCAAAAGTCTACAAATAAGAAGAATAACAGTCGTAAAGATAAAGAGATATAGGGAGTTATAGCGAAAAATTTCCGATACTGTTTACTTTAACGAAAAATGACATTTTTACTCTAAAAGGTCGCTCTTGATACTATTCACTTACAACACTTTTTTGTCTTTTTGATTAAAACTCAAAGTTTTCAAGCGATTTTCAATATTTTTCCTGATATGGTAAGTATAGTAATGAAAAGTACAAGTTAAAAGAATGATGAACTTCTTAGGCACAAGTGGTGGATTCGCTCAATCTGGTGGTTTATCAGAGTATTCATCTTTTAACGACTATGTTCAATGTTCAAACCAGCTTGAGCTCCTTACAATCACTCAATATGGTCCATTTTACTAATTAGTGCGCGCATCAAAATATTGTGACAAGGTCATTTCGAAATATTCCCACAAGATACTCTTTGAAGAAGTTAAAGTTCCATCATAAAACTAATTGATAATATGGAGTATAATCTTATTACTTATAAGCACATGCAAAGTCTCTCATTTCTCTAATGTGAGATTCATACATTCAACATGCCCCCTCACATGTGACGAATTTTTAAAGCCTAATGATACAAATTCATAACGTGGAGCATGTGTGATTGTTGAGCTTCTCACATGGAACAACATACTCGATATCATAAAGAAAACTGGAGTTCCATCATTCCATTAGTTGCCTTTTTTTTTTTTTTGTCAACAATTCATTTTGTGCATGTTTGGAGCAATACGGTAATCGGTTGCAATGGCCACCATAACTTATATAATCCAACTTTATCTCCAAAATAAGGTAGAACTTGTACCAAAAGTCTTGCGGCTTCTTGTTCTTTTCCAAAGAATATATAAAACAACGACATTTGAAGCAGTGCAATTCCTACAAAAGTTGACCGTCACTAATTACCAAAATAGATTTGAAGTGATGGAATTACGGTTGATTTGAGTTAAAGGGAGTAAAAATAGGCTTTAATTTTCACTTTCCATAGTGCCTTGTGATCAATCGGTAAAAAACGAAAACCAACCAAATAATATCAACCGCCCACCTTTTCAAATAAGGAAAATTAATGAAAATGGTATGAGGACTTTAAGTTTTAACGATAAGGACAAAAAAAATGGTAAAATGAATAGTACCATAATTGACTTTTTAATGTAAAAATATAGTTTTTCGTTAAAGTGAATCGTATCGAAAAATTTTCGTAAAAATTTCCTTTCAAATATGCATAGAGACTCGAAAGTGTCGTAGGAAAACAGGATATACCAATTAGCAATTGGTATTATATATTATATGTGTTGGGATCCACTTAGGATATTCATATGTTGTGTCTCCACTTTGTCTCCCCCTTTTTTCTCAACACATATCATATTTCCTTCTACTTGAAGATCAAACCACACCTTTATTTTTTGGGTCAATACATCAAACCACACCTTACACCACATATATATAATAAACCATATATATAAAATAAACCATATATAATAGTTTACCTAAAGAGATTCTTTAGGATCAATTTAAAAGCGGTCCCAACCTTTGTTAATATTTTAGATAAATACTCAATATTTTGAAAATTAGACATTCTTACGATCACTGATCCTAAGTGCTAACATTACCTGTGTAAAGTGATGGCAACAATAAATAAATTGAAAGGTATGTTCAAATTTTTACTATCACATCATCCATGGAGGCGAAATTAGGATTTAACTTGGCTAAAATTGGTCTGTTAGAGGATTCAAAACTCCACAGATGATGTATTAGTGAAAATCCAAGCATGCCCTTTAGTTCATTTGTGTATGTCATTTCTTACACTCTAGTGACCTAACAGATGTCCATGTTTTAAACCATTTAGATAATTATTTAAAATATCTAAAAAGGTTGAAATCATTTTCCTATATTTCTCACTTTCCTGTGGCCAAACTCACACATTAATGTCATGTGTCAAGAAGATCAACCGTTTACGAGCTATCTAGTTTATCTTGTAGTTGTTCTTTTTATCTGGAGTAATTCAGTAGTTTTCGAAGTTGGGTAGGTTTTCAGCAGAGTTTTGAGTGGACTTATTAAGTTTTGACTCACAAGGTTGATGATTGGACAAATTCTTAGGGTTTGGAGTGCAACTGAAAACAATTACTCTACGATCGAGAAGGAACCAATGGATTAACCGATGGAAATAAAAAGTCGAACATCAAGTGATTTTCAACATTGACCGACAACTTTTTACCCTGTCTA